AGATGAGCCAAAAATTTAGGACACATTTTATTTAATGTCATATTTGCAACACATTATGTTCCTTCCAATGCAATAAGAGAAATGTAAAAATACAACCATTCCTTTCCAATATGTTTGATATTCATAACTCCTTAAACATGTATTATTTTGTGTTGTTCTTTACAGTAGGCAAACATCTAGTGCAATCCATATCCACTTTGAGAAGAGTGGAAATAGTCAATAATACATTCTGATTTTGTGTTTGATGAATAGCCCTAAGAGTAAGTCAATGAAGTGTAAGCATGGAACACAATACAAGCGTAAATGTTTTTTTTACATTTAAAAAAGGTATTCATCTTTATTTAGACATACAATTCTATATTTATATATATATATTTATATCAAATACTGTGTCTGTTTGTGGACTTACAGTACAAGTAATACCTAGGGATGCACCAATACCTATAGGTTTTGAAAAAAGTGATATTGGCGCATCCCTAGTAATATCAGTATAAAACTGTGACTGTATTGATTGGTATCAGGAGGTCACATACATAAAGTTCTCAATATGTTAATTCACCCGCATTAAGCTCTATGTAAACATTTTCCTCATATTAGGAAAAGTTGAGATGGCGATCCAATCTTTGACACAGCCCTGATTCAAAATCTTCAAACATTTGGGCTAAAACGTCACCCGGAAAAGAAATATCGTGACAACATACAAAGACATCTATACACCTCACATGTTGATAGTGATATTGAACATACAGAGGGTTTATTGAACGCAAACCCTCTTGAAGGTGAACGCAAACCATCTATGAATATTAATATTAATATGAACCTGTTTTCTTAGCCTATTGACAAGTAGTAACTAAAGAAAAAGGATATTGAATGGGTCAAGTAATGTGCCATTGGTGGTGTGATTAAGAAGATCAAGAGATCCTTTACTATCCCATAGTGAGGATATTTCAGTGTTGCATCATAGGTTACAGAACAGTAGGAGCACACAAACACAAAATCACTAATAACAGGGGCCAGCAAGGAAAAATACCAACTAAGACTAAAATTTCACCCCCTATTTATAACTGCATTACACAACTGACGTGTTTATGCATAGTTGTCATGCTAAGTAAGACTTTGTGTCAATCAGAGGTCTCATAAATATTCAGATTCCCAATACAATTCATTCATGGGAACAAAACGTCCTGAAAACAACCTTGTGAATTAGCACATGGGCATTTCAGCCTATGAGTCACTGATTTCCTGTTCTCCAGACTGACTATAATCTTCCAATAACTGCCTTCAGTCACCCATACAATATTAATGAAAGTCATGTTCAAGGGAAATAGCTTTAGGCCCAGGATCTCAGCACATCAACAATGGCTCCTTTAATAGGAGCTGTACATTACAGGACAAAATACCATTGGATGTAGCTGAAGAAATATCTTTTGTCAAAAAAACTATATATAGATTAAAGAAATGAGATCATATTGAGGTAAAACCTGTGCTCATTTACTATGAAATGTCCACAGTATGATTATCATGGCAAAAAGGCAACATGTGGCAATTACTGTTTAGGATGTACAAGAGTTGGATATACTAATCCACACTTCTTTCTTAACAATACAAATTACTTCAGGAAAAAATATCTTCCTGGAGCTCACGTGCAGTAATGAAAGCCAGGAGGTGCTCCTTGATGAGGGGATTGTCAATGTGATAAAACACCTAAAAATACACCATCATTAACGTGTAGTTTTATTTTGGTTATTATTTTGACTCCATCAAGTTTTAGTAGCTATAGGACACTTCTTTACAGGCATGGAAGCTAACGGTTAGGCTGTTGAACACCTCGTCATTAAATTATCATTTGATCAAATGAAGATAAGATAATATAGACCTTTATTGTCCCCTGAGGGAAATTCATTTTCACTGTCACATACTTAGAATGGAGAGTAAGGAGGATAAAATACACACAAGGTACACAAAATACAAAGAAAGAAACACATGGACATTATTATTACTGTGAGGTTGAGGTGGGAGAGATCTGTGGCGGGCAGATTCATGATTTTGGATGCTGTGTGTGTGACTATAGTGAGGTTTTTTTTGTTGGTGAGGGAGAGCATGTTGAAGTAACAGGGGGAGCAGCAGAGGAGAATGGGTTGGAGGATTGAAGTGTATAGTTTCAGAAGCAGGTTTGGAAAGACGGAGCTTACGGAGAATGTGGAGTCTTTGTTTTGAATATCTGTGACATGTTCAAAGGTGAGTTTATTGTCGTATGAGTCCAAGCTATTTGATGTGATAACCCGTTCTATTGTTTTGTTGTGTATGAGAGTGGGAGCCAGGTCAGGGGTGTGTGGATGAGAGTGTAAAACTAAAACATTCATCTTATCTGCTACATTACAACATGAAAACCTGCGGCTTATATTCAAGTGCGTCTTATAATACAGACAGTACAGTTCAAATGCCGTACCTTACTGAGGTTCTGCCAAGAGGCCTGCCTACATCATAAGCAATAAAAGACCAATAGATCAATGGAGGCATACAAAAATTTTAGAATATTGTATCTTTATTATTGATGTTGTTTGAGGAATTATATTAAAACCAAACAGATTATTCATAGGCTGTTTCCTGCTTTTTAACCTACAAACATCTCTGTCAATACTATTTCAAGTGCATCAATACTTTCACAATACCCATTCTCATCCCATGCCCACACTATACATGCTTATGTCACTAACGTCTGCTGGGGCTACATTCTATCAGTGATGTGAGCCGCTGTGCAGTCAGAGGAAGGCTGCAGAGAAAGACGGACAGAAAAAAAGATCACAGCACCAGCAGGGGGCGATCCCAGCTGGGCCCCCGAGCTCCACACACATCACACTGTTGAGGGAGTGGAAACAGATATGATTCAACCGCACCTCGAGGAACACAGACTGTGCCAAGGATATTTCTGACAAGGATGTGCCCTTAGCTAGTGTGAAAGAGTGTGTTTTTCAAATGAATCATATCGAGCAATAGTGCTATTTGTAATTAGCAATATTTTAGATTTTAGCATTATCTCCTCAGATACATTCAGAGCTATGTGTAAGTGTATATTTGTCTTTCACATGCTGATATTCTAATCATAGGAATATGAGCAGTGTGTGTGGCTACTATAGTAAAAAAAAAAGGCAGATGATAAGTTCTCAATTTATGGCAGATAATGGCATCTAATCTTTCTTACTGATAGGGGTGCGCGCTAAAGGTAAACCTCTTTCACTGAAACATATAGGGCACTGTCCGGTTTCCGAAATGTGCTAAAAATAGTTCCAATGACTGCGCATGCGGGCATGTTTCGGACAAACTCTGTCCGACTCCGTTGAGTACTACTGTGTTCTCCACATAAGCGTGTGTATTTATTTGGGCTAAATCATTGAATCATAGTGACAACAAAACACTGCAGTTATGGTGCTTGTGGGAGCGATTTCAGATACTCTGAAAAGGACTATATGAAAGCAGTAACATTCAACCTGTTCGTTAAACCACACCATCGAACCAGACCAGGACCAGACCAGGACCAGACCAGGACCAGACCAGGACAAGTGCAAGAGGTGGGTGCTTGTGGTCAGCAGAATTTCTCTCATGAAAATGTTAAAAAGGACATGTTTTTTCAAAACACGTCGCTGGACCAACTGTGGAGCCTCCAGATCCAGTCCTAGCTACGTTTAGCTGGGACTGGACCTGGACCGCTGTATCAGGTCCGTCTGAGCTCTTCTGAATGTAGTTAGCCCCATCAATCCATATTAGTATTGTTTGTCCTAATCCAGAATGTATACAATTCTCACACCTGAAGAAAGATGAGAGGGATTTTTTCAACTTCGTGACTATCGGAAAATAAGCACAGACGAAGCGCGTTGGGGTCCGCTTATTATACGGCTTTGTACCAACTGAACACACAAAATAAACTTCTGTCACTATTCATGCCAAAAGGTTTATTTAATGAGTGCAAAGAAAATAGTTCCCAAAGGTTTTAGTTCACCTACTTTAAAAAAGCGATCGCTTTAGTCGCATTAAAAAAGTATTTTTGTCATATAAACCTTAACAGATAATTCTGAAAACCTCTGTGCACGTGTGTTGTATGAATATTATATTCTAGCATTAACATTTAAATATGTTGATTGATTGTCGTTTGCGTTTACTGAGTGTGGCTAGCTCCGATAGTTTCTCTCTCAGAGACAGTAGTGGTGTAGCCCGTTGTGACCCCATGGATCTATTATAATATCGGCTGACTGTAGTTAACTAAATGATCAAACTAATTACGAAATGGACAGTACAAAAAACAACTTGATAAATGGAAGTTAATCAGAGCAAAATAAACAAAGAAGGCGCTAACATTGCAATTTAAATGACTAGATAATGTTAGCATAATCCTCACCATTACCTTTTTATCAAATCAAACTTTCTACCAGTTACTGGAAGACCACGACATTCAAGCCAACGTTTTAATTGGTCTACACTATGATCCCTGATGGTTTGATGGTGGAATTTTGCCCCTGGTTTATCATTTTTGTCTAAAGTGACAAGAGGTATTTGATTCATTTTGGCAGTGTTTGTCCGAAACATGTGGGCGGGAGTTGACAGGCGGCGGGGGCGTGTCTTATTGACGTCATTCAGATAGTTCGCTATTGGCTGTGACATTTGTACACCATACTTGCTCCAGGAACCCATTAACATGATGATAATTAGACTGTTTTAATGGCCGATGTCCTTCCTGTCCATGGATCTATTATAATAACTGGATAGGGTATTACTAGCTGGGAGCTGAAGAACCCACGTGGTCGGGGGATTCTCACGGTACTGCAGACTAAACAAAACTAAATTCACGTGGGTTACCCAGAAATTGTCCTGCTTTGGTGTTCTCCGTACTGTTAATATAATGCATATAGTTGTGACACTGTAGGAGGGATATTATATATACAAGACACTAATTCAGATCGCTGTATTACTTCTAACTGCTTCGTTACTCTTTTGTGTCCCTGTAGAAGGATGCAGTTTCAGCTCCCCCGGGGTCTATGATGGCACCGTGTACAGCCGAATTGTGCAGATCTTGTACAGGAACGAGGAGATCACTGTGAACGACTGGATGGTCTTCAGAGTGCACCTCCTGCTAGACGGAGACAGAGTGAGTAGCCCACCATCACTGTTAACATTTATGCTTTTCTACACACACTGCAAAGACTGGGGTATTTGCATATATTTATAGCATCCTTGAGACCACTGTGATGGAATAGAAAAATATGCCATGCTGATGCTCATACAGCCGCTGGGTCACAACAAGGTCATATACTATATGAAAAAATAGAAAAAATAAAATCACATAAAAAGCTTTTAGTAAAGTTAGTGGTAACATTTTATAGAGACATGACATAGACACAAACAGTGTACTCATTTCAAATCAACTATATACAGATGTTTTTGTTCTACACACTCCCTCTCTACACCAGAATACAGTAGAACTTTTAATTAAAGTCTGGATTTCACATAATACAATTAAAAGCATGACAGCGCATGATAATGGAAAAGTATTACAGCTCATGTTACTCACACACTGTGCATGGTGGAATCACATTAGCTGTCCATGTAATTATGGACATGTATTATTGGTCTGTAATGAGCATGTAATGAGAACATTGGGCCTCATTCACGAACGGTTCTTAGGAACAGATTTGTACGTAAATCCTACTTACGAGGTTTTTACGAAGAAAGTGGCATTCACGAATTTTTCACGTAACCAGAATTTCTCTTGGGCAAGTACAAATCCTACGAGTCCTCAGGAGCACTCGTACGCATTCAGTGCCGACATGTTCACACGCCGGGGTTGTCCTCTTTGGTGAAGTTTAATAAAAATACAACATTCCAGTGATATTTCCGTCATATCGATGTATGTATTTATTTATTTGTAGTAATCTTTATTAGTAATCTTTATTTATATACCGCCTTTTTCACTGCAGATCTGGCCTACTTTTTTATTCATTTTGAAATGAAATGTGCCAACGCTTTATCAAATACATTGGAAATCTTGCCGTGTATTAGTGACCCCTTCCTATTTATAGGGGGCATTTCTTTATCCACGGGCCACAGAACAACGGCATATATACTGCTGCTGCAGGAGGTTACTGGGTCCGCGCTGAGTCTCTGCGCTGGTCTCTCCTAGGATCTATACAGGTCTGCACTGGTCTCTCCCATGGATCTATACGGGTCTGCACTGGTCTCTCCCATGGATCTATACGGGTCTGCACTGGTCTCTCCCATGGCTCTAGACGGGTCTGCACTGGTCTCTCCATACGGGTCCGTGCTGCATGCTCCTGGATCCATACGGGTCCGCGCTGGTCTCTCAAGTCTGGTCTATGCGGTCTCTCTTCGGTCCGCTTCGGTCCGCGCTGGATCTCCTCCCAGGGTCCAAAATATTTTGAGATTAATCTCAAAACATTTTGAGATTCATCTTTAAAATAATACATAATATATTTTTAAATTAAGCTCATAACATTTTGAGATTAATCTCATCATATTCTTAGATTAATCTCATAATTCTGCTAGTTCGACTTTTTTCTCATAATATTTCAACTTGTAAGTCAACATTTTATAACTTTATTCTCAGTCTGGCCATAGAAGAAAAAAGGGTGACTCTTTTGTTCCGTGTAACTCTTTGCTTTAGGCCTGTTGCTGTTTCCTCTGCCGTCTGCACACGGCCCTGCAGTCCCTTTTATGGGCATTAATGGGCGGTTACTTATGCTAAGTACCTATGCTAATGAAGCACCTGGCACGCGCGCTCTACTTACGAGGAAATGGGATTCATCAATCTAAGAGAACAGCTGCGAACAATTCAGCGGCTTACGAGTGCGTTGATGAATCCCACGTAGGGACTTCTTAGAAATCTACTTAAGGACAACTTGAGAAGAAATTTGAGAAGTTTCTTACGAAGTTATTCGTGAATGAGGCCCATTGTACGTTCAAAGTGTTGCTCCTCAGTTATGTTTTCAGCCACCAATGTACTTGATAGTGGGGTATCGAATTACAGTACATGTACAGGTCGTACATGTCCAAAACAACATTTTAATTTATTTTTCCAATCTTGGAAGATTATCAAGGAACTGGACACAGTGGTATGTTTATTGTTATGTCCCTTTGCCTGTTTTATTTTGCGTTTAAATGTGAATGAGTGGTGGTGGTCATTATATACAGTCCATTTAAAATAAATAAATAAATTAATCTGTGAGCACTTTGGAATTAACTCAAGTTTGATCTACATTAATCCTGTAAGTATTCGATCTTTAAGTACCTCTTTCTGTAGCAGACTTAAAATCTGTGAGGACGCATTCCCACGCTGGAAGACAAAATTCTAACATTTCTTGAAACACAAAGACAAGATACTTACGTACACAGAACATGCCTCCGCTTCCTTCTATACTCTTAAACTTAAAGCTGCACTAACTGACTTTGGGATTTTGAAGCCGCGGACCCGCTGGCCTCTCTCTTTCTGCTCCCCTCCCCGCACCCACGAAGCTATCGCCCCCCACACACACTCACTGTTGGGACGGAGCTAGTGTCTCCCAATATGGATAATACATGAATATGGATTTGCACGTGGATGGCGTGACCATAAAACGATAGAACCGGGAAGCGCGGAGGAACGGGACTTTCTTTTGGATGGCTGTTTTGCTAAGTAAGCAGTAACCGGTGATGAAGACACGAAGCTTCAGGTTAGCTCCTCGGCTTGTTGTGCTAACTCAGCCGTCTGTGCTAACGGACCTGTAGATTTCTCACGAAAGTGGGGGCTATTGGTCCGCTGTGATTGGTCACAATCTGCGACCCGAAACACATTCTCTTCCTTGTTTCATCAAAACTCAATCTAAAATATAATGTCACGCCAGCACAAATCTGCGCTAATTATTCTTCAAAAGGACGTATATCCCAATGCACTACATGGACATGGATAGCATTTTCGTAATTAATACGAAAATAAAGTCAGTTAGTGCAGCTTTAAGACCGAGGCTTCTGAGTGTTCAGGCTTCTGAAAGTTCTTGTTTTGAGGCTCTGGTTAGCAGCAGTAGATACACTTTGACTGAACAAACTTAGAGACTGCAGTTAAAGGCACCTTGGGCTGGCTCATTGATTCTCCACGTCCTCAACTCCGCTGCACTTTCTACTTTGGGTTCAAGCCAACAGCGGAGGCCCAGCAGAGCTGTTATTTATCTAGCTCGCCAAATGTGACATCAACTATTTAATTAAAGAAATGAAAATGAGTTGGAAGCCAAACCGCATTATGGGTAATATATGCAAGAACAGGATTCATGAAGCCGCCTTTGGTTGAATTGTTAACTGCAGGTACCACTACAGAGCTGTGAGAGGGGGACTGTTTATATGGGATTATGCAGACATCACAGCTAAAGCATTTTAATTAGCTGCTACTTAAGTGCAGAATACCATTTGATATACAAGGCATATCCTAACTGTTATTATATAGACCCAAATGCACTTTATTCTGAGAATCCATTACTCACTATCTGATATGAACCATGATATATTGACATAATGCTCACAAAAACATTTGCTTGTGTTATTCTGAAAAAAGAAAAAACAATATGACTCAAATGAAAATGTTCCAGTATATTATCAAAAATCTCTTTTTACATTTACACAATTCCACAACATCCTTCATCGTATCTTTAAGACACTAATTCACAGATGAATGCTCTTGGTTTGGACGTCATGTTGAAAAATGACTTCTACCTGGTTGCTGATGGTGATCACATGACCTAAGTGATGTGTGTGGAGGTGGCAGCAGCTAATCTGGCTCTGGACAACCATGCGTGAGCGTGCATCAGTCACAGAGCTCTGACGGAGACAGTAGTGATGGATGTGGCACCACCACAGGACCACAAAATGATGAGTAGACCCAGGCTTACACTACCCCTGGACTGCCTTGTACCATAACTTTTAAAACAAGCTCATGAAAGGCAAAATGCACCATTACTTTTGATAAAATACCGTATACCCTTAAAAGGAACTTGCAACTCTTCTATTTTTGTGAATCACAAAGATGTAAGCTGCTACAAGGAAATGTGATTGGTTCTGAGAAGACCAGGTACTCAACTTATGACAACATACTTGTGAAAAATGCAATGTTTTTGTAAAGCTTGACAATGACTATTATGAGAACAGACATAATGTGTTTCTCCTATTGTTTGATGAAACAGGTGGGTGAGCGGCGAGGCCCAAGCTCATAAATGGGAGTGTGCATGGAGCCGTCCCTCAGACCTGAGAAAGGTCTGATGACCAAAGCGTTCATTCTTCAAAAGAGTGAGACAGTGGCCCAGTCCCATTTCTCTAACTTGTTCTGAGAACACTCGCTATGAGTTCCCTCCACAGTAGAGTCCCCTCAATGAGGGAAGTGCAAGTGAAGAATTTCCCCTAAGAATTGGGACATCACTAGTTTCAAAATTTCACCCCAGTCCAGTAGATGGCGGTAATACACATTGCCTGTACACCTCAGTAACGTCACGTGTTCTCCTGTGTCATGCATAAACAAGAGTCACAAGCAGCGGTGTATTTTCATCGAGTGTTTGTACAGGTTTGGAAATGCCGGCTCCAGTAGTTATTTTACCCATTGCGTGGGCGTTGATGACCTTTCTTCGTGTGGCCAACAAACGGAGAAGAAATGGGCAAAACCGAAGACGACTTCGCCGCTATTTTGCCCTGATTAATCTGTTTACGGTACGTGGACTCATTTATTATGACGCTATCCGTATGCTGCTAGCGTACTACCTGTTATTGGTTTCGATAAAATGCCAACTTACTTATAATGTATGTTAATTTTTTCACAAATGGGTACAGCCTTTGGGTCATTAACCGGTTACGCGATGAGAAAGTAAACAAACAGGAGAAAATTCCACCTCACACCTGAAGCTTACAAAACGTTCCCTGTATCCCCAAAACCCCATTTTTTTGTTTTTTTGAAGGAATGCCAACTCGCAGTTATGATCATATTTAAAAAAGAAAAAGACAACTGTGATGTATAATTGTCAGGATGCATAAAAAAACAGTAAAAGCTGTCTTTTATTTACTATGTTTATGTCTAAATGCTTGTTTTTTACCTATTGTGTTCCAGAGTGGCCGTGCACTAACCTACTGTAGGATGGACAGGAATGTACCCATCCTGCGCTTGTGGTTTGACGTGGAGTTGGAACTCATCCGGGACTTCAGACTGAGTAGGAAGGCCATGCATGCCCTGCAGTGTCTGCTGAGGAGAGAACAGGACCACGGCTGGGGCCATGAGCTAGAAGTTCTAATCTACGTTTACTGGCTTGCCCATGGTCTGTCCTACCGTGTGGTGTCACATGTTTTTAATATTCCCAGGTCCACCATCCATAGAATAGTCCACAAGGTTGCACAGTTTATTTGGGACAATTTGAACAGGGCAATATCATTTCCAAGCCCGGCAAATCTTGACACCGTGGGTCATGGATTTGAGCAACTTTCTGGGACACCCATCCTCAAAAAAGCTGTTGGTGCCATTGATGGTTGCCACATTCGGATCAAGCCCCCATCACTCCATAGACTGGACTATTTGAATTACAAAGGGTTCTACTCAATAAACATGCAGGCAATTTGTGACTCCTTGGGAAAGTTCCTTGATATTTTTGTGGGATATCCAGGGTCTGTTCATGACACACGCATTTTAAAGAGCAGCTCTTTTTACATTGCAAGAAGGTATCCTCCAACTGGGTACTTCATTCTGGGTGATGGAGGATACCCGTGTTTGGAAACCCCAGTCTGCCTCATTACTCCCTACAGGGAACCGGTGAATGGCAGAGCGCAACAGAGGTTCAACTACCACCAGTCAAAGGGGCGTTCAATTATTGAAAGAGCCTTTGGCATAATGAAAACTCGGTGGAGATCCACACTTTTCAAGGCCCTGGAAGTCAAGCCTACATTTGCACCCCAAGTAATAGCGTCCTGTGCCTTTCTGCATAATGTTTGCTTGGATAACGGAGACATCTTGGAGCCTGATCAGGATGTGGCCGGGGACAACATGGACCCAGAACTGCCGTTACAAGAACTCCCTGACCCAAATGTAACACCAGGGAATGCCACAAGGGACAGACTCGCTGGCCTGATTTGATAAACAAGGCCCTCACTGAAAAAAATCCTTGCAAAACTTGTAAATAGTTATGTTCAAGCACATATCTGACCTGTGTGTTATGTGGGTGTATATAGTTACTGTAAGTGTTGTATATTGTTGCTGTGGTTCATGTTTCTACATTTGATTAAACTTATTTTGTACAATACCTTGGTAGTTTGTTTTATAATGACGTGACATACTGTATGAATGTGTATGATGCCCGGTCAAAAAACAACCACCAAGCACTTTGATTTATATAAATATTTGTATTCAGAAAGATGAACTCACATTTGACATAACTAAAACAATGTATAGAAAAATATCACAAATATAGAACAATATTTGAATTAAATAAAAAAAACATCAAAATAAGCTTAAAAGAAACGTATTGCACATGAACATGAACGAGGGAAAACCACCACAGCTCTCACTGCTCAGGCATTTTCTCCACAAGCTTTTCGAACAAACTGAGGAACCTCTCTGTTTTGGACTCAGTTTCCTCGTGCCTTTTTTGCTCCTTCACAGACTCTTGTTTGAAGAACTCAAGGACAGCATTATTGACTCTTCTAGCCCTTTTTTTGGGAGATGGGGTGGTGGGTGCTTTAGGACCTGGTGGGGAAGAAGTAGACGGGCCTGCCCGTGTGGCTGGCATCGGTGTTGGCGGGGCTGTGTCTGCAGTAGTGGAAGATGGATCCGGCTCCTCCATGGGAGGTTCAACAATGGCCTAGAGATTTGAATAACAAAAATAAATTAATGCATGCTGAAGTCACAGCACAACAACAACTTTGTATAGACCTTTATGCTCTGTGATATACTAGTGTATTTTAAGAAAGTTATTGGTCAATTCAATTCCTCCTCCTGTAAACTTACCATTAGTAATTCTGTCGGACCAGGTTGGGTAAATGAAGCTACCAATACTGGTGGGTCAATAGATGGCCTGCCCCCCAGAACTGCATGCATGTCCTCGTAGAACTTCCAGTTGGATGCCGTTTGCTCCCCATCTGCTGTGCCTGATCCTGTCTTGGGCAATTTCAGCATCTGCAATAACAACCACCCCAAACACACAAACACAGTCACATAAAACAGTTATTAATTAATTATGTGACATCTGACGGGATGGGTTATTTAGCCTAGATGATGAAGATGATAACATGGGACATGGGATAACATTACCTTGTACTTCGTTTTCAAGTTTTCCCACTTTTTTGCTGCTTGTTGGCCATTGATTTTACCCGTCAGGCCGATCTCAATGACTGCTGTCCTATAGGGATGAACATAAGGGTGGGTTAATGCATTATCAGAATGTGACTGTTAAACAGCAGGTTAGGCTACTCACTCCCAGAGTTGCTTTGTGGTATACTTCTTTTTTGTGAACTGCTCTTCATTGTCAGCCCTGAACTTAATTAGGGCTTTGGTCTGCTCCACAGTCCCTGAAACATTAGCCCACATGACCACATTAGACACAAGTTGCTCGCCAATAGGTTGCATTCATGTGCTAGAATTCTTTTTCAGGTGGAGGGCAGGGGCCAATTGGGAGACAGACAGTTTTTGAAGGAAATTTCCAAAAAGAAAATTTGCAAATTTAAATTACTTGTGAATTATTTGATAGTGAATGGATGCACAAACCTCACATATTATTCTAATGGCTGTAAGAGCTTTCTGTTGGCCAGCATCACACATATGCTTTTGAATACTGTCTCCACTTATTTATGAGAAGATAATTATAGCTTATTTCATATGTGCTGACACATGACATAAGACATTGGACTTTTCACTATATAACAATATTGCTCATGAAACAAGCTGAAAAATCATGCCTTTTGACAATAGTCAGCACGGAATGCTACCTTCCCTCCACCTCAATTGATAGGCTTGTCCACAATCTATTGTGAATATTACAGGACGAAACAGTGTGCAGTAAACAAGCACGATGACAATTATGCATCCCAGCTATGCTAGTGACCGCGGATATAAACGCATGACTCCTTAAGATAGAAATGGGGATAATTTTGTTAAAAGCTGTCATGCATAATCATCCTACTTTACGTGTCTAGAAATAAAAATAGCTGTCTCGGTAGATTTGTGCAATGTGAAAATTAGCGATTTTGCAAAATTCATGTTTTAACACAGCGGTACAGAATTCAATTGTATTTACGTCTAACTAATATATCCCAACATATTTTTTGGAAAACGTGTGCTTAATTGTAAAACTATACTTACATTTGTGCGATTCTTTGCCACCGCCTGCCGCCATCTTTCTTTTTGCCGTATGAGTTTGCAAAGAATTCTGGGAAGCCACTTCGTCCCAAGTCAGGTCCGGACCTCCCTCCGTCTGAAGGGATCATTTCAAGGGTTGAAGTGCACTTCTCCCTAGGTCTTCAAAGTATTGGGACACACTACCCTTAAACGTGAACGCGCATAACCGAGTGCTAGGGTCTAAAACGAGTGCAAGTGAGAGAAATGGGACGGGGCCAGTGTGTAGGAGTTCCTCTTTAACATTTCATTAAAATACACTTAGACTTGTATTTAAATTTCAAGTTTATGTGTTAAAATCCCATTTCACAACTTTACATAATTGTCTATGTATTCAGAAATGTATATTTCATTGATTAATAAAATAGCTGTTGATTACTGTAAAAACTAAATTGTAGTTGTGATTCATCAATTAGCTCTATTATATTTGTCTCTAATTACAGTATATAAAGGAAAATGGCAAGGGACAGAACAGTGCCTTTACATGTATCATTAGCGTGTTCAAGGCTTGACATTCAGTGACTTCTGTAGGTTCCATTTCAGTCTTTGGTGTTTTTCCTCCCGGTGGTTATCTTCAGCTCACAGCCTCACACTGCAGTCCCGAAATAGCCCCTGGCCTCCGTCTGAAAAGCAACATATTCACGCTTAATCAATGACATCAGAGCCATCACAGCCCGTTTACCACATCCATGCCTTAAACTGTCACTGCTTTCATTCTGATTAGCACACACGAGTGATCTGCTCTTCAAACGACTGCATCACAACCAGCCTTTGTTCTCTGTGGTTCAACACAGCATGTTCAGTGGCACTTATAACATGGGATAGACTTTTAACAAGGCCACATAGGAGAGTTTATAAAGCTCGCGTGTAAGCATTCGATCCTCGTAAGTAGCATAAGCTACATGTAGCTCTATAGTCGGTTGTGTTTACATCTAAAACCACAAGAAAAAAAATGCATTGCTTTTTTGTTACATGAAAAAATCTTTACCTTACCTTCAAAATGTCTGAAATTGGTGATTTTTGTAGCGATTAAAACAATCAATGGGCTGGAAAAAAGAGCGACAGATCACGCTCGCAATAGGTAATCTAATAGAAGAGCGTGATTTGATGCCCACTTTTATGAGAAAACTACCCACAATGCCGTGCGGTCGAGCCGGAAGCTCGGAACTCTTGATCCCTGTATACTTTGCTGTTTGTTCTCAGGTGGAGGAGGCGCTGAGTGAGGTGGACTTTCAGTTGAAGCTCGATCTCCATTTCACTGATAATGAGCAGCAGTAAGTTTCACAGTCTCACTTTTCCTGTTATGTTTCATCCTCTTTCAAAAATCAAAGTAACCTCGCTGACCGCATTCCTTGGCAACTTTAATGCACGGGCGTGAATGCAAGGTAGGCATGAAAACAGTCAATTATGCATATAGGCAGGTGGTCGCAAGTAGCATGCCAATGGGTGCGATTAGGTCCAAAATGCGAGGTTGCATTGAAGGTGCCACAAAAGCTAGTGTTTTTGGTGGACTGCCACTGTGTCCTTGTTTTTGACATACCTGGCTGATTACAGTTGTCAAAGCAATACACAAATGACATATGAGTGTACAGTTTGGGTTCTCGTACAAAGGAATGCATGTGTGAGTGTGGGAAATAGCTCCGTTAAAAGCCAAAATTCTTCAATACACACTTGACAGAATGTGACAATTGGAGTCTGACGTTTCTGGAGCAAAGCTAAGGTTGCAAAGATGTGATAACTTGTTTCAATGTTGTATCTCGTAAAGTGTAGTATGAGCTATATCTACATTCCATCCCAAGTTTCAGAATGGTGAGAATGAGGACAGTTTTCATATTGTTTAATGATTACTATTGATTGAAAATGATTATTGTCACATTGATTGTAATAATAATGGGACAGTTAAGACATGAAATAATGCCATCCATCTATTTTCTACCCTTTAATCCATTTCTGGGTCAGGGGGGTGGCAATCAGAGATGCCACCCAAGTCTCATAGCACCAGCCCCTCACTGACCCTCTGCAGGTGGTGAGTCCACAGGAGGACGGCTGCTCTCTGAGTGTGAGCATAGCCTTAATCTTTCAGTGGGGGTTTTTTAGGCAAAGTGGGGTTAAGTGTCTTGCCCAAGGACACAACGACAGCAGTCATCAGTGGGAGTCGGTGGAGAAGGTGTAGAGGTGGGAATTGAACCCACGACCTTCTGGCCTTAAAGCCAATGCTCTGTCTACTGTCGCCCATGAAATAACGAGACCCATACAATCAACAGCTCAGTATTCAGCCAGTGTAATCAAAAGTCCCCTCAACCTTTCTATAAGTAATACATTTTGTCTGTAACTAACTTCACTCTTTAATCTGGGAACGTGTATGTGTGTGTGCGTGTGTAAGAATTGTGCTAAGAACAGCTTTGAGACAATAAACAACTATAGCATGGACAAATCTAAAAGTCGATATTTCACTGAAGGCTTTTCCTTTCTTGATATTCAATGTTTTTCATTTTGTAACATTAAATGGTCTTAATCTGATTCATAATGCATGATAATAATAAAGAAAATGTCTTTTTCATAGCTTTGCATCCCACAAATAGGGCTTTCTCTTTATTTCACATGTAGTTGTCGTAACACCAGGCATATTGTGGCAAAAGATTATTTACATTCTAGTTCAAGTTTTATTCCTTGTAAACAGGAAGCGAGCTGTTTGCATAGTTGTGGTCTGCCGTGACAGCAAAACTCTGCTTATAAACTCATAAAGGTGACGAATTTGGGTGTTCAGAATGCATCCAAACTAGGGTGGAGTTCAGCAAAGTATTTATTTGTTTCTTAGACAATAAAAAACACAGATTGACAACCATCAGCAAATAATTGAGATTAATCAGCTCTCTCATATGAGGCCTTTATGCATTTGAACTGCGTTTGAACCCTTTACATCACGCATCCCACCTTCTGTAGAAATCAACAAACTGTGGATTTGTGTCTTGTTTTCACAGATTAGCAGAAATAGCGACCGTGCCTCTCATCAGCTCCCGGACCCTCAACCTGCACTTCCACCCACGCAAAGGGCTCCACCACCATGTCCCCGTCATGTTCGACTACTTCCACCTGTCTGTCATCTCTGTCTCCATCCATGCATCACTGGTGGCCTTGCATCAACCACTGATCAGGTAACCCCCACCTTTATTCAGAAGAGACAGATTCAGATTAATTTCATTTGCCATTTGCAGTAAAACCACATTGGAATACTTTTGCAAAAGTTCCAAGTGTGCACAAGACTATTGCATAATTAAAACAAGGTTAAAAGTACAGATATAAAACCAATTAGAACAGATAGTGCACACCAGGGCTCTTGCTGCGGTGCCCTGACTCCGCTATATCTTGGAAAACCACACACCCACCACACATGCTCAAAAGACAAAAGTCATAGGAAACTTTTAGATATCACTTGCATGGAAGGTATGACATATTTGTATTTTCTGCTTTTAATACTACTTGCCTTGCCTGTATTTGAAAGTAGAGGTGCACCGATCAAGAATTTTATGGCCGATCACCGATCATTAAAATTTTGACTTGCCGATACCGATGATTGCCGATCCAATCAAATATTGATATTTTTAGTGATAAATGAATAGAACTAGTTGTTCACTTCATAAATAATCTTTCAAAACAAGGTACTAGGTATTATAAATAAAATGCCCTAGGGGTACCAAGACAAAAAGGTTGGGAACCACAAGTTTACGTTACAGAGCAGGAAACAATACCACAATATTGTATATTCTGCATTTCTAAACTGATTAACCTCTTTACATCCACCTGCCCGCCGGCGGGCAATTTTTATTTTTAAAATGTTCTTCTGGCAATAACAGATGCATTTTGAACACCAAACCCCAAAAGCTCATTGAGATGATCATCAGATCATTTTAAAGCTTATTTTCTTATCTACATTTATATACAAGTGTAAACTATATCAGGCGTTGCATTCAAAAGATATAACACATAATATGGGCACAAAATAAGTCACTTCGGAAAAAGTTTTTTACCTTTGGGCTTGAGCTGCATAAATAAATCAGATCTCCTCCTGGCTTCTTATGACTCTTTCTCTCTGGAACAGTCCATTTATTTTCCCAAAGTATAATCCATCCATCCATCCATCCATTTTCTACCCTTTAATCCATTTCTGGGTCAGGGGGGTGGCAGTCAGAGATGCCACCCAAGTCTCATAGCACCAGCCCCTCACTGACCCTCTGCAGGTGGTGAGTCCACAGGAGGACGGCTGCTCTCTGAGTGTGAGCATAGCCTTGATCTTTCAGTGGGGGCTTTTGGGCGAAGTGGGGTTAAGTGTCTTGCCCAAGGACACAACGACAGCAGTCATCAGTGGGAGTCGGTGGAGAAGGTGCAGAGGTGGGAATTGAACCCACGACCTTCTGGGCTTAAGGCCAATGCTCTACCAACTGAGCTACTGTCGCCCCAAAGTATAATCCATTCTGGAGAAATAATCCAAAAATGTGCATTTATCTGTAGCGAAAAAAACATAGTATCCACGTGTTCAGCTAGTCCTTATCTTTCAAATGACACCTTCCATGAATCTCTACGAGCTATTTTGGGTCCGCAAAATCTCCCGTGAGTTAGACAAGCGGCTGCGTTTTGCGCATGGGGTCACTTCACATTTGTTGTCATTAGACTGCTTTTCATCTACTTCCTGGCGGAAAGATTGACATGTCTGTGTAGCCAATGAGGAAAGCTTTCTATTAAGGGGTGGGACATATGTATACTGTGTTGGGTTATCTCAGTAGAAGGCTGCGTAATGGCCATGGATCTATTATAATAACTGGATAGGGTATTACTAGCTTGTAGCTGAATAACTCATGTGCTCGGGGGATTCTCGCGGTACTGCAGACTGAACCAGACTAAATTCACGTGGGCTACCCAGAAATTTTCCCCATAGGACTCAATGCATATTAAAACAGCTCGACCTCAGCTGACAGAGAACCTACAGCTTTCATAAAGGTCGTATTTTGTGGGGATTTTAGTGTCCCTTGTTATCCTGAACTTTTTTTCTTAAATCCTTCGGTTTTGTTTAAATCCACACTTTAGTGCCACGAACTCTGCTCGTCTGGCTCTTGCTCTAACTCCCGCTCTGATGAACTGCTCTGATTGGTCAGAGCGCGGCCGAGCCCCTCTGTGCACGTGCGTGAAACCTGGTGTGAGACCCACACACGCGTATTTCGCGCAACGCATCATGGGCGATCATCCACTGCGCAGAACCGGGAGGACCAGACGATGGCCAAATACAGGCGAGTTTCCCATAGATCTTTGCAAGTTCCAGGCGACTTCCGCTAATCTTTCAGCCCCCATGCCGTCACAAAGCGCCACTGAGCACAACCATTCAATTGAATAGGGCGCCATCTTGAATCGCCGGGGCTTGGTAATGGCCTGGAGACAGGCGCTGACGGAGCAGCAATAATTTTACACTCATAAAAAATTTACTTTGAAAAAATGTTTTAAAAAATCACATAGATTAGTATAAGTATCAAAAAAAAAAAAAAAAGGGTTTTTATGATCATGTAAAGCAATTTGGCACAACTTGATGAAAAGGAGATACTGCATAAAAACTGTAAAACTTAGAAGTCTGAAACTGTGCTAAACAGCCGCTGTCTACACTTGTACATGGAGCGCAGAGGAAAGCTTACGCTGCTTTGGCCAAAGCAGGGAAGCTAATAAACAAGTGGCTGTCCGCTCCGAAGCGTAACTAGTTTAGCTAGGTAACGATGCATCAGCGACACCGTAGGACTGTCTGTACTACCCACTACACTCATCTTCCTCCAACATTTTTGTGAACATAGCATGCAAAGTCCTGACAGGGGATGTTTTTGCCTGTGGCTCGGAGCTCAGCGCCTCGCTGCTGAGTGTGTTCGGTGTGTCTGCGCTGTGTAACTCTGGGTGGGCTTGGAGTGTCAATGTGAGAATACAGTAGGTCCCATTCCGTTTTGTCGTCTTCATTCACGCTTCTCGGGAATCACGCAGCTGCGTGAAAAATAGTACATCTTATCGCCACAAGGTGGCAGGCTAAGTCCGCTTTAGCTCTGCCAGCGACTTAGACGCTCAGGTATAAGACTGCGTGCAAACCTGTCTAGCCCAGAGATCCTATGTTAGCCGAATGGTTAGCATTAAATACAGGGACCTGGAGAACCCAGGTTCGATTCTTGTCTGAGGCACATTTTTTGGTTGCTTGTGGCAAAATTGTTTTTTCATTAAACAATTATTATATAACATAGCCCAGAGATCCTATGTTAGCCGAATGGTTAGCATTAAATACAGGGACCTGGAGAACCCAGGTTCGATTCTTGTCTGAGGCACATTTTTTGGTTGCTTGTGGCAAAATTGTTTTTTCATTAAACAATTATTATATAACATCTTGTCTTTAATGTCTGAAAAAATCTAGGTGAAATTCACTAGTGTTATACGTTAAATATTGTGATATGTTTTGATAAACCGAACGTTACGTTACATCCTCCGCTCTGGCCCCGGGAGCAGCTGCTGTGACCCCCGCTCTGCTGTGACAGCTCAGTGAACGCACTGCCGTCTGGGCTCCGAGCGCGGACCATAGACACGCGGACTCACGTCTCTCTCTCTCTGCTCGCGTCTCTCTCTCTCTGCTCGCGTCTCTCTCTCTCTGCTCACGTCTCTCTCTCTCTGCTCGCGTCTCTCTCTCTCTGCTCGCGTCTCTCTCTCTGCTCGCGTCCCTCTCTCTCTGCTCACGTCTCTCTCTCTGCTCGTGTCTCTCTCTCTGCTCGTGTCTCTCTCTCTCTGCTCACGTCTCTCTCTCTCTGCTCGCATCTCTCTCTCTCTGCTCGCATCTCTCTCTCTCTGCTCGCATCTCTCTCTCTCTGCTCACCTCTCTCTCTGCTCACGTCTCTCTCTCTCTCTTTCTGCTCACGCCTCTCTCCTCTGCTCGCATCTCTCTCTCTCTGCTCGCATCTCTCTCTCTCTGCTCGCATCTCTCTCTCTCTGCTCGCATCTCTCTCTCTCTGCTCGCGTCTCTCTCTCTCTGCTCACGTCTCTCTCTCACTGCTCGCGCTCTCTCTCTCTCTCTGCTCACCTCTCTCTCTCTCTGCTCGCGTCTCTCTCTCTCTGCTCACTCTCTCTCTCTCTCTCTCTCTCTGCTCACCTCTCTCTCTCTCTCTGCTCACGTCTCTCTCTCTCTGCTCACGTCTCTCTCTGCTCACCTCTCTCTCTCTCTCTGCTCACGCCTCTCTCTCTCTGCTCGCGTCTCTCTCTTTCTGCTCACGTCTCTCTCTCTCTGCTCACGTCTCTCTCTGCTCACGTCTCTCTCTCTCTCTGCTCACGTCTCTCTCTGCTCGCGTCTCTCTCTCTCTGCTCGCATCTCTCTCTCTGCTCGCATCTCTCTCTCTCTGCTCACGTCTCTCTCTGCTCACCTCTCTCTCTCGCTCTCTGCTCACGTCTCTCTCTGCTCACCTCTCTCTCTCTCTCTCTGCTCACGTCTCTCTCTCTCTGCTCACGTCTCTCTCTCTCTCTGCTCACGTCTCTCTCTCTCTGCTCACGTCTCTCTCTCTCTGCTCACGTCTCTCTCTCTCTGCTCACGTCTCTCTCTGCTCGCGTCTCTCTCTCTCTGCTCTCTCTCTCTGCTCACGTCTCTCTCTGCTCACCTCTCTCTCTCTCTCTCTGCTCACGTCTCTCTCTCTCTGCTCGCGTCTCTCTCTCTCTGCTCACGTCTCTCTCTCTCTGCTCACCTCTCTCTCTCTCTCTCTCTGCTCACGTCTCTCTCTCTCTGCTCACGTCTCTCTCTGCTCACGTCTCTCTCTCTCTGCTCACGTCTCTCTCTGCTCGCGTCTCTCTCTCTCTGCTCACGTCTCTCTCTGCTCTCTCTCTCTGCTCACGTCTCTCTCTCTCTGCTCACGTCTCTCTCTCTCTGCTCACGTCTCTCGCACCTGTTCTTCTTAAAGATGTTGTTTGATGCGGAGCAGAGAGTCAGCAACTAGATTGGTTGTGAGATTATTAAAAGAAGCTAGTTCTCTCATCTTTACAGCATGGGAAGTGTGTGAATGTTATTGCATCGGTGATTAAATGCTATTTTATTTTATTTTATCTTATTTGATATATTAAGTTGATTTGACTTTTAAGTTGTAGTGAACTTCTGAAAGTTCAAGTGGCTCACAAGATAGTTCCAGTTCCAACTGGAAATTTTATTGTCAGTGAATGCAAAAATCTGAGTAAGGTGAACAATTTTGAGTTGTCGTTTTTACAGTTCACCGAGCTATAGTGAGGTCAACTTATCTGCGTTTGCTCATTTAAATATGTGTTATGGCAACCAGCTGCATTCAACATTTTGAACAAACTAATTTGACCAAAAAAATCACTGTATTTATTTTTACCAACCGTAATCGACAGGGCCAAGCCCTTTATATTCTCTGGGTCAGTCTTAGAAACATTAAGTTTCCCCTCTTGTTCACAGTGTGTGCGGCACGGTGGCTGAGTGGATAGCACTCTCGCTTCTGACACGAAGGTCCTGGGTTCGAATCCCGGTCGGAACAGGGCCTTTCTGTGTGGAATTGGCATGTTCTCTGTGTCTGCATAGGTTTCCTCCGGGTGCTCCAGTTTCCCCTACGCAAGTGACCTTGGTCCATGAAATGCGCTATATAAATAAACATTATGATCTTTTAATGTGGGGGCTAATTTAAACTCAAAATAGTAAGTTATTGTAGGGGACAGTAATCTGAACTTAAAAAAGTAAGTTTTTACAGACTTGAAATTTCCAGTAACTTGAATTTAAACACTTAGTTGGCAGAACTTGGAAAACTTAACTGACACAACTTAATAAGTGTAGTTCTTCAAAACTTGAAGAATTAAGTTAATGCCTTCAACTCAAAAATCCTTCGCAGCTGGTTGCTTTGAAATTTTGAGTTGAACTAACTTTATCTTTTTTACAGTGTGCATGGACCAGAAGTCCAATTAAAATAATGGACAATTGCTCCTGCAGCCCTGAACAGGACATGCGAGGTGCGCGGGTCGGCCCGAAACCCGCAGTCAACCCGCGGGTCCCGCGGTTTCGGGCGGGTTGGATGCCTCAAAAATATGAGTCATGTCAGGTGCGGGTGGGTCAGGTCAGAAAGCTCCTGATCCCTATATAATATTATATATGTGAGCCACGGTATGGGAGTCCCTTGAGTACATTTGCAATCGCGCAGGGAGGCTGTTAAACAAAAAAATCATGCTGACAAACAGGATCGCTCCTTCCTGACTCCCCGCTTAAAGCCTCAGAACACTCCAGTCCGAGGACAGACGTGTGATCTACACAGGCACCGAGACTGATGACGGTGTGGGCCTCACAGCAGAGGCCTAAAGCAGGGGCCTCATTACTTTAATACTTACAGTCTGTGGTAAATACACGGGCTACATGTGGTACACGTGCTTAGACTATATTAATATTGTATGTGTAACATTCAAAATAGATTGAGTGAATATTCCCTTTTCCTCATTTAGTGATTTGCGGAGGAGAGGAGAGGAGCAGCGAGAGAAGTTTGGCAGTTAAAATAAATGAATTACAGCTTGCTAAATTATTTGAAAGCATCTTCATTATGATTGTTATATTTATGTATTTATTATAAATGTTAGAGAGATGCCAGAGAAAAGGCGTCTGCTTTTTTTCTGAGTGGGAGGAGACACCAGCGGAGCTGTTTGAGTCAGATAACGTTCAGCGTTATATTACCAATAGTTTCTCTTTCCATAACGATATTCTCTCTTTTTGGAAAGATCACCAACGTGATGCAAAAGTTTACGTTATATGCAGTAGTTTTAATGTCTGCGGGTTATTCCAGAGACTGGCCTGCTACAAGGAGTTGCCCGTTTTAACCAGATTGTCGATGTGCGCGGGGCAGAAACTCGCCAATGTAACCCTGCTCACAAGTGCCACCTGGTGGTTGTTTTGGTCATTGCAACGTCACTGGGAGGGGGAAAATAAAAGACGCGTGAATCACACGTGAGTCTCGTGTGATTCACGCGTGAAAGGCGACAAAACGGAATGGGACCTACTGTATACAGTCAAATATTTCCGCAATGACATATTGAAGCAGTCGTTTGAACCCAGCGCTTTCCACGATAGACAAGGGCTGGTGGCAGAGGGAAAAAAATTCCATAACTAACTATTCCATGCATATTTCGTTCTGTTTCTTACCGTCATTACTGTATGGTTATTGCCGTTGCAGAATCTCCACAAACTGATAGCTGCATGAGTTGCTTGTTTACACAATTTTGACGAGAGAAAGTAACTTGAGCGCATGAACCTTTATGTTGTTTGATCGCTCTTTTTGATCGGCACATTTCACCGGTCACCGATCACGCAAATTAAGACGTGATCTGCCGATTATAATCGGTTACCGATCGGTGCTCCTCTATTTGAAAGTTAATGTGTTTAGATTGACACAACATTATGATGGGAAGATGTTTCATATTTTTGTATTTTTTTAAGTTTTTCAAGTGAATTTAACACAGCATTGATCACTAAACACTTTAATCTGAATGAACATATAGTATATAGTTTTGCATTTTAGCATGGATGAGGTGCACACATACTGATGCTCTCTGGTGCGCCCCACAGCTTTGCACGCACAGGGAAAAGCTCATGGCTGGGGAAGGGATCACCTGAGAGCACGGCAGACGCCTCTGCTCCGGAGAACTTGATGTTTGGAACCGGCTACTGCAAACCTGTCATCTCTGAGGTACGGCTACATTTATGGGTCCTAAATGATAGGGTGCAATATGAAGTAATTTGGTAAAATAAAAGACAAAATAACAGAATACATTTCAAATGATGGCAGGGAACTTTGAGGAACAGCGTTATTATCTACTTGTCATGATATTCAGTGGTTTGTTGAAAAGTTGAATTATATTTTACATGTATTTGTACCCTGTGTACACAGAGATGCTGTGACAGTAACACGATAGAGTTTACTGGCGGATTGTCCTTTTATTCACACGCCGTCTGTGTTTCACTGCACAGGGGTCTATATCGCAGCCGTGTGAAGAAAAACACTGACTGCGATGACCACTTGCCCTCCATACATGTGGACATTTGAGTGGCTGAGAGCGAACATAAACAGCAATGGCTGCAGATCAACTTTTGCTGTGTGCTGCTGCAGCGTTTGGTGTTGTTTAGTCTCTTAAAAGATAACTTTCATATTAGGGCTGGGACAAGGCGTCGACGTAATTGATGAAGTCAACGCAAAATATGCGCGTTGATTTGTCAGACTCAAAACAAAGATGGCAGCAAGTAGTAGCAGTAGTAGCAACGCGAGTGCCGTTATGGGGCGTTCAGAGTGCAGACGCTGGAACGGAGTTTCCACGCGCAGTTGACGCACATTCTCTAAATTTCAGACACTAGGGGCAGTAGCGGCAATGCTTTGATGCTAACAGAGTTAAGCTAGCGGCTATTTGTGTAAAGTTCTTCTCCAAGAAGGCAGCTATGCAGCATCTCTGTGTCTGAGACCAGCATCTCTGTGTCTGAGACCTTCCAGAAACTTAATAAATATATTTTGTTAAGGAATTCATGTTTTTTATTCAGATATGTGAATGAACATGTATACTTTGATATTAGTCAGTTAATGGGGAGATAATCAAGAATTGAATTGAATCGAAATCAAAAATCGGACTGAAAAAAAAAAAAGAATTGTTTGATTAATTGACGCATCAAAAAATAATTGCTAGATTAATCCATTCCATCTTCTTCCGCTTCATCCGTTGCCGGGTCGCGGGGGCAGCAGTCTTAGCAGAGACGCCCAGACTTCCATTTCCACACACACTTCCTCTAGCTCGTCCGGGGGGACCCCAAGGGGTTCCCAGGCCAGCTGAGAGACATAGTCCCTCCAGCGTGTCCTGGGTCTTCCCCGGGCCTCCTCCCGGTGGGACGTGCCCGGAACACCTCCCCAGGGAGGCGTCCAGGAGGCATCCGGAACAGATGCCCGAGCCACCTCAACTGGTTCCTCTCGACGTGTAGAGAAGCAGCGGCTCTACTCCGAGCTCCTCCCGTGTGACTGAGCTCCTCACCCTATCTCTAAGGGAGAGCCCAGCCACTCTGCGGAGGAAGCTCATTTCGACCGCTTGTATCCGCGATCTCGTTCTTTCGGTCATTACCCAAAGCTCATGACCATAGGTGAGGAAGGGAACCAAGATTGACCGGTAAATTGAGAGCTTTGCCTTTCGGCTCACCTCCCTCTTTACCACAACGGTCCGATACAGCGACCGCATCACTGCGCACGCTGCACCGATCCGCCTGTTAATCTCACGCTCCATCCTTCCCTCACTCGTGAACAAGACCCCGAGATACTTGAACTCCTCCACTTGAGGAAGGACCTCTCCACCCACCGGAGAGGGCAAGGCACCTTTTTCCGGTCGAGCACCATGGCCTCAGATTTGGAGGTGCTGATTCTCATCCCAGCCGCTTCACACTCGGCTGCAAACCGTCCCTAGATATTAATCGTTTAAAAAATAATTGTTTAGCTCAGCCCTATTTCATATGACTCTCGTGTATGTCATCGCCGAAAGAGGGGCACGTGAAACCACGCCAAGCTGAAGTTGCAATTTCCAAATTTGTTGCTATTGTTAAATACAGAATGATGTTGGTGCATTATTTTCCGGCTTTGCTGTGGCCTGGAGGATGTTGTTGAGGAAGTGGTTATACTGATGGGTGTCGTGCGTATCATGTTGTAGACTTCCACTGCCCGCTACTGGCCGGGCGCTAGCACTACATCCACAATCCGGAGTGGGTTTGTTTTTGCGAATTTCTCGGCTGCGTCTCGATGTAAACAGGGCCTCATTCAGTTTTCTTTTCTTCTTGTCTTCTTTTCTTTTGTGAATGTGAAGTTCTATGAGCAGCTGGTGTTGTGCTATTCAAGTAAACCTGACATTGACATTGACAAAAGCAGAAAATCATCAATTTTGCATGCTATGTCCCCTTTAAGCATTTCCATTTTACATCTCATTGAGAACATTAACCAACAACCAGCTTGTATTTCATGAGAACACTCTTGCTGTGTGCACAGCTTCAATAATTAGTGCAATAAACCGTTTTATCTTTAATACACCCCTCTGGATATTGCCTTTGTAATTAGACCAACATGTCTATGCAAAATGAAACATACTGACTGTTAAATATGAAATTAGAAAGATTTGAAAGAATAGTCACTGCAATTCAGTGGCTAATGGGGATCTCAATAAACTAAACTATTAATAGAGTAAATGTGTATTATTTTTTAAACTCTAAACATTAGAGCTCGTCGATTGCTACAACCCCCATTCTCATTTACAAAGTCTACATACTGTAGTCTCACTATTACCCCAGAAGAAGGCACGGCTTTTAACAGGAACCAAAAAACATGAGCACATTTTTCCGGTTTTAGCTTCTTTGCATTGGCTTCCTTTTAATTTTAGAATTTATTTTATTGTTTGTTTTCAAAGCTTTGAAAGGACTGGCCCCTCCTTACATCTCGCCCCTCATCCAAATTTACCACCCGCCCCGCACGCTGTGGTCCAAGGGCCAGCTCCAGCTTGTTGTGCCTAAAACGAAACTTAAGACCCGGGGGGACAGGGCCTTCTCTGTGGCTGGACCAAAGCTCTGGAACGCTCTGCCCCCCCTCGTTGGAATGTTTTAAGTCTTAAGACGTATTTTTACTCTCTAGCTTTTAACAGGGTTGTGTGGTCCTCTTTTTATTTGTTTCTACAATTTTTATTTTTATTTATTTTTTGAATCGGATAATTCGTATTTTATCGTTTTTATCACATGTTTATAGTTAACTAGTATTTTATTGTTTTTATTACATTTGTATTATTTTTACTTTGTGCATATTTAAATGTGTTCATTATATCTCTGTGCAGCACTTTGGAAACTTGTTTTATAAAATGTGCTTTATAAATAAAGTGGATTAGACTGGATTGGAAGAAAAAACTGGGAATGGAAAAGCCTGATTGCACACTTACCAATATGATTTAGCTTTATCCCTGAAACCAAACCTAAAATATGCTCAATAAGCTATTCTGTTCTCAAAATATCTGTTTAACAACCCGGGATCCCCTGTATGAAATTCCTTCTAGGCTTTATTGTTGTTTATTGTATTGCTAAGGTTATAAGAAACACACTGTACCTAAAAGTAAGGCCCCATCATGATGGGAAAAAAGTTAGTTTTATGTTTAAATCCAGACTTGAAACCTACACGTGATACCTCTTTGGAAGTCTTGAAGGCCGTTTGCAGTAAAATCCCATGTCAGAGACGTCACAGCGTACACAGTAAATGTTAATGAGCAGGACCAGTGCCCCCCGGTTTTGCTGCTTGTTGTAACTCCCACCCCTCACTGTGCGCTTTAATAGGCTGTGTGTTTAGCCAGGCGGGGGAGTGCGTTTGATCGCTCTAATGACGCGCTGCCACGTACCTTGCCCAAGAGCACGCAGGTGAAGCGTTCTTTCTTTGCATTCATTTTGAGTGTTTTAGTCACCTGCAGCTATGTTCTCACACTGTCGCAGCACCGCTTTGAAAGTATGACGCAGGGCAAGGAGAAAAACAGTTTGAAAATTCGATATTGATATAAATCACATTCCTGTGATCGAGAAGAAATATGAATAGGAACTTATTTTTCAGCACGATGTACTCTACAGGAGTCAGAATCCTTTATATATTGCTGGTGACTCTGATCTCCTGAACCGAATCCAACTGCTTCATTAATCACTACTAGTATAAAGCCCTGTGTCAGCAGAAAGCAATGGGCTGGTGCGCAAAAGGGAAGTTTTACACTTTTTCTTATGTAATGTCTTCAGATACACTTTCACTTTTGTGGTGGTCTTATGATAATACTGTGTTGCATCATGGGAAATGCAATTGCATTTACATACATTTATTCAGTTGTTCTGATTTTATAGTTAAACATACCATGGATTACATGGTATTTTTATCTCATGTTTTCTATACAATGACCTGTGCCTCATGTCCATAGATCTGACCACTAACTGTGCTTGGTGGGTGATTTGCTTGTCACTAAGTAATACATACAGCACAGAATGTGACCCAAGTGTGTTTTACTGTAATATAAGAACAAAGGACATAGTAGATAAAATACACACAATACATCCAAGAATCAATAAAATAGGTTTCAGCACGTTCTGTGCTATAAGTGTTGTGTTCTTATACAGGTCAGTAAACTAATGGGGGCTGGGATTCAGCCTTCCTTCAATCACAATTTTACAATTTAAATTGACAAAACCATCACAAGAATACTCTTTATGCTAAAATGCTAAAACAAAACGTATTTTTGTTCAGAAACTTTGTCAGTGGTGAGAAACTATGGATTTGCGTTAATTACTAGATTCTGCACAAAAAGAGCATTTTTGTTTGTCTGACAGAGTGACTTCCATAAAGCTGAGCAGAATTATAAAAGTAAACACCCAGATGTTCCTTCCTGGTTAAGGTAAAGCGCTCAGGTGTTATTACAGAGTGCACACAGCTCTGATGATAGGCCCAGACCCCTCTCGCCTGCAGCTAGTGACACTACATGCCTTTGGAACACTAAGCCAAAACAAGACGGCCTCAGAGCCAATCCCATCTGATGGAGCCAGGCCATAAGGAAAGACAACTATTAGCTCATGAACGAGATGAGTGATGTTAAGAGATGGCCCTAAAGATTGTAAAAGAGTAAAGTCAGCATCATTGTCCAGGAGCTTTGTTATAGAGCCATCTAGTGTCAAATAATGACACTGCACTGAGGTGTATCAACGTGATAGCCTTTACAGAGTTCACCTGTAACTTGGCCATGGACATCCCATATTGATTTGGGGGTTATATGCTGTACATTACACTTGACTCTTAATCAATTAAACAAAAAGGCAGCCAACATGCTGTCTCATTGTTTTACATTTAGATGATTGTATTGCAGTGTAGTAGTGTGCTCCTATGAACACTAGTCAATAGGTCCAAATAACCTTTTTGGAACCTCGTTTCACACTTAACTCAGGACTTAATTAGTAAAGAGACTCCACAAACATGCAGCGCCCTGTAACTGAATACACTAAGATGCATTTTTCAAACAAGCACATAAATTCACATAATATGCCACTCATAACCCTTTGCACAGGCATCCTTTCCTTTGCTGACGACCATTTACTGCCTCTCCAAGCTGCGTTTAGAGCCCATTTGTGCCTCATTTTGCTCCTAATTATCTCTTTACTATAAAGTGTGTTTTTTTAAAGCTGCAGTGACATGTCAGTACAGACCCTACAGTTCAAATATGCTCCACTGAACTATATGGTGGGCTGGGCAATATGGTGATAGTTACCAAATTACGAGATATTAATACAAACTTAAACAATTGTTCACCGTATTTGTTTTAAAAAAAACAATACTGTGTTTATCTCCTTGAAACTTTGTGGCACTAAACGTATTGATACATTTTTCTCGGCTATGTCTCCAAAGACATGATTTAATAATTCTACATATGTCACTTCAAGAAAGACACTGTTTATACTATTGATTTAAACCAAATTAAATGTCAAAATTAGCAGCTGGCAGCCACAAAAAACACCAAAGAAGGTGAACAGCATGTAATAAAATGCACAGTGTCCACAAAATAATGACTGGGCCGGTATTCGACACACATTGTGACCCATTTGACCTGTAAATCAGACCCCTGGTGGGTAGAGTGTAATTCTGCATAAACACAGTCCGCAAGAACCTTGAATAATCCACATCACAAAATAGTGGCAAAAATGAGATACAGCAGTAGTTTCAGGGAAACAAATGAAGAACAAATACTCAACTTGTGGTTTGTGTAGAGAAGTCTTTATGTGCATATTTGACTGGAAATCAAAATCAGGCAGCAGACAGCAGGTGACCTCTCTGAGCTCAGTGTTTCAGATGTTTTGTATATACTCTTAGTGCAGGGAGGAGTTGGGGAGTTATTTCAACTAACGTCCCTTTGAAATTACAAGCTTGCTTCAACCCCTCGCACACACTTCTTCTTTTGGCACCAGAAGATATGTATGTCCATGTTTTGTTGCTGAAACCTCTTCGCTCATCGCTGGCAGACGTGACATGATCGTCCTTAGCAGCCGGCATATGGCTTTTAGACCTAGCTACCACAGAAAATGCATGCTTATACAATGAAGAAAACAGGTGTGAAGAAGCAGGTGACTTGATATACCACTTAAAAGCAACGTAAACATTCTTTATGATCCAAATTGTCAAGCAAATTTGGTTTATTTGCTTGTCCATTCTTACTGTGATTCTGGCTTCTTTTGCAGGGGAGTTTTTATGTGGCCAGTGAGAGCTGTGCACAGCGGGCTCACACATGGCACCGAAGACTCTGTCGCCTCCTGCTGGCCGCACACAGGGGCCTGCACACGTACCACACTGCACTGATGAAGGAGATCCCGCAGCTGCAGCAGACGCCACTCGAGCCCGGTGAGCTTGTGCAAAGAGAAATGTATATGGTTTTGAGTCTTATGAATGCACTTCTAAATAGGCCTGTTGCAGTAGCTATATTTCAATTATTTAATAACTAATGAATGACACAATATATCTGAGGCCCAATGCATTTTTGTCTTCTTTGCAAAAGACAATTGTTGCTGTTTTCATTGTTTCAGCTAACAATTTACGGTGATCATTCTGCTATATTTTAAATGTGTCAGTGGTATATTTTCCTCTCACAGAACTGTTGCCTGTTGAGGAAACCTTAAACCAGCTCACTATAGAAATCCAGGTGAGTGTTACTTTAATAACAATTGTTGTTTTATTGTGTATTATTCACTCTATTGGAAAAGTATTTCTTGTTTTATTGATTTGATTTGACTTATGTATTCATTTGCATTTTAACCCTTAAAAGACAATGCCATCGCCGACGATGGTGGCGCACATGTTTAAAAGTGATCACTTTACTCGCGAACCGTAAAAGCTAGCAACTTACAACATTCCAGCCTTTCCAAAACGGGCTTCGGTTTGCCTGTGCGATGCACGGAAGATAAACTGCGTGTGTATGAAAGTCAGTCCCCCAATCGGATCTTTGAGCGGTGCCCCGTGAGCTTCACACAGCCAATTGTAAAGTTGTTTACTCAGACGGGGACTCGCACGAAGATCGTCAGAGAGTAGGATCTCTCACTCCTGTGTGTACTTGTTGCTGCATAGGCAGCAGCGCTCAGAGGAGCCAGAGGAGTGCACATTATTGAGAATAGACAATAAATACAGTGAAGTGATATTATGTGTATATAATGTATTTGTATATATAAATTAGATGTTTTATTTATTTTTTTGTCTTAGTTTGTTTTGTTTTACGTATTTTACAGCTGTGATACAGAAGCAACCACAGCCTCATAAACAAACTGCTTGAGTAAGGGCATCAGGAGTACAGCGTTTTTGGCTTTTATAGTGGAATTTTGTAAAAAAATTATAATAGTCACTGGTTCAATATTTTTCCCCCTTATCCCCAAGACCATAAATAACATTTCTATGGAGTCTAAAAAGTTGTTTATAGCATTTCATTGTGTTTTTTCAATACAATTTTGTGAAATTGATTCTCCGTTTCATTTTTTTCTTTGTCTTCATGATTCCATAATCATTATATAATTGATATGACAGCTCCAAAATATGAATATTCTAAAACCCCAGGTTGTACTGAAAAAAACAAAGTATACTGCTTGACTCTGCATCAAAAGATGACTGTTTTATGAGCAATTTTACACACAAAAAACCAGGCGAGGAAAGTTCCCCAAAATGACTCTAGACCTTGGAGGGTTAAACACATGTTTGAAAAGGAGTGGGCGAAAGTCGTAACACATTTTGTCCCACCCCTTTACCACAAATAAGAAAATGAAAGTTTCAACACAGGATCGATGTCATGATTTGATTCCCTATTCCTGACCGGAGATATATCTCATAGAGACTACATGTTTGTAATTATTTTCACATATCTTTGAATTACTGCTTTTAGACAAACTGACAAACTGTTCCATTATGTTTCTCCACAACTGAAGTGTAACATCTCTTTGTTGCCACATTTACAGACTTAACATTTGTTTTGTGTCTCAGATTGTATAATCTGTCACGTACAATAAAAGGTTTTTTTCAGTAAGATTATGTTTTGCTTAATATCAATCATTGTTCACCAATTGTTTGGTGATCTACTAACTCCAGAAATGTCAATCATATTGATTTTAGAAACATAGCCTTGTGTACACAACTCTTTGTGAGAATCACTAATGGCTGCAAGTTTGTTTTCTAAGTATTTCCCCAAATGTTATTATTTAATAATATATTATTAGGTAAAACAAGTAGAAATTATATCCAACATTTGTTTTGCAGTATTGCAATATTATTTGATACTTTATTCTGTACATTATAGATTCATATAAATATTTCTAAATATATTTCCTTTCTTCTTTTTAAAGGTTTTTCCAATGTAATACTAAACTGCTACATAAGGACAAAAATCCTACAAAACTGTTAAAAGAGAGTTACTGTTTGTCTTGGAGTGAAAAAGTATTTGATGACACATTGAAATGTGAAGATTAAGGGTGGAAGGCGCTTAAGAAAGATTAAGGTTGTCTCACATAAAACAAAATGATAAGAATGCAGGGTTTTGAAACAAACCCACTGTTACGGATCTAATAATGATCCCCTGGCCATGCCTCAGTTACAGGACGGCCATGAGAAGGTGGCTGAGCAGATCAGCAGAGACATGAGCCATCTGTGCACCCAGCTCAGCGCGCTCTGGAGCCACTTCCTGGAGACGGTGATCATGAGCCCACACATCCTGTCCTACCTGGCCCAGGAGCACCACACGCTCAGGGTGAGAGGCTGCACACAACTACAACTACTCAGTCTGCCTACAAGAGCTGCAGTCTTACTACTCTATAAGACATATATTCTCTCTCATTATCAATCAATCTTTATTTGTAGAACGCTTATCCTACACAAGATAACACAAAGCACTTCACAGTCCACACACAAAACATAAAAACCAAAATCACCATTAAAACACAATTCAAATCACACAATTAATTCAAAAACCTTAAAATCACACAAGGGATTAAAATAATAAATAACTTAAGTGTATTAAATTAGAGATAAAATCCTTCAGTTTTATGCACAGGCAAAAATAACCTTCTTTAACCTGGATTCGAACATTGTCAGAGTAGACGCCTCTCACATTTTCAGGGAGACTGTTCCTGATTTTAGCTGCATGAATCTGAAACGCTGCCTCGCCATGTTTATCATCCTGAAATCATTGGATGGATCACTTGTTAACATACATTTTCTATCAGAGGCAAAAAAGTAAAAATAAATATATAAATGTTTGGTTAAATCAGTGGTCTCCAACCTGTGGCTCACCAACCCCAGCAGTTGTTCTCATCCAACAGGCCCATAATTTTGGTTACAAATCTGATCACTGATCTGGGTAATAGAAATGTGAAACTGTGTGGTTCGCTCCACTCAGTTTGGTCCCTGAGGTCTCTGAGTCTCACAAGTGTCTTCTTTAGTATTCTTTTATCTCCAGGCGTATTGTCATGCCTCCACCCACCAGTGGAGCAAAGATTTCAATTAACATCATTCTCCTATCATCAAGGGGGAAAATAATTCTTCTACTTCTCTGTCTATTGAGGCTGCAAAAATATACAAATCCCTTAATGTAGATATTAGTGTTAAAGTAATTGTATGAATGTCAAGATTTTGACATCTATTGTCTTCTTTTTTAGATATAGTATAATCCTTCTTCCTGGTTGTTGTTGTAGAATTACATACCCCAATGAAGGAGAAAGCTCAAAGGTATTTGTCTTAATCAGGAGCGTAAGTTTATTGTACACACGTGCGGAGAGCTCACATACACAAAGCAGCGTCCATAAGCTCTGGCGCGGCCAGAGCAGGTTCCTGTTTACATAGACAACACATGAAAGACAGTCCCGCCCACAAAAGATGGGAGGGGGTCACCAGTACAGGAGGCGCATCCAGAGGCGAGGCGCCATGCCCGGGGGGAGGCAATCAGACCGTGCCATAGAGATGCAAACAGAGAGACAATCGACATGCAGGATGTAGAGATGCAGACATACAGATGCAAGATGCAAAAGGGACAAGGGTGAGACAGTCATTGTCTGTAGGTGCGGGGGGAAGCCCGGCTCCTTCCTGCAGGTTAATTGAATAGAGCAGCAGGGGAGGTGAGTTGGCGTCCCCGAGTCTAGGCCGCTTGCCATCACACTCCTCTCCCGTGATAATGTAGAAACCCCAGTTTTACAGAGATCACATTCAGGTGGGTGAGTATTGACCTTGGTCCCTGAGCAAAACAAGTGGAAAAATAAAAACAAGGTAAACAAGAAAGAAAAACGTTAGACAAAGTCATCGTCCGAATCGCTGATATAATCAGGATCGGAGTTCAGTGGGACAGCGGCCAGGTCCGCCTCGGGGTCTTTGTATTGAATGGACACAAAGTGAGTGGATACCATTTTACCAACGGCCCGAAACACCATAGGTAATACACATGAAAATAAAATCATAACGGTCAATAGGGCTAAACCAAGATTAATGAGCACACTCCGCCAGGAGGACAGGAGCCAGTCCAGACCGTGAGGAGTGTCCGTGACATTGTCCGCTTGCATGGCGTCCCGGAGTCTAGTCAGATTGGCTATGCCCTGTTGGATAAGACCTCCGTCCTCATCATTAGCCGGAATATATGTACAGCAGGACGACCCAATGATCGTGCCTACGCCTCCCACAGACGCGGTCAGGTGGTCCAGGACCAACCGGTCCTGAAGAACAACAGCACGTAGGTCGTGAAGTTCAACTCTCTGTGATTCAAGTATGGCCACTGTGGTATTGACAAAACCTGAGAACCTATAGCTCAGGGTCTCCGTCCTTAGCATTAGTTTACCTACACCCAGGCTGGGGAATAATGCTAACATTATTTTCTGGCCTGTGGTCCATAATTTGTGGTCATCGGGTACATTAGTGCCCCACAGGGGGTCGTCTCGGGATTCGGAGGCAGGGGAGTTGGGCAAAGGGGGTCGCCTCGGGAACGCTGGGATTCTCTGGGTGTTGTTGTTGGCCTGCTTCACCGACGGTGGTCGCACGCCGGCCGACCTCTTCAGCGTAGGGAGCCGCGGATGGGCCTGGTCCGTCCCCACCCTCGGTGTCCTCGTCTATGGCCCTCAGTGGCAGCACCGCACGACAGTGGTAACGGCAGTGTCCGTCACCAGGAGGACGAGGAATGGGCCTAGCCAGCGCTTGGACCGCCAATGTTGTCGTCTCGTTTCCTTCACCAGGACCCAGTCGCCTGGCTTGATCTTGTGCGGAGCCGCCTGCGCAGCCTGTGGCAGGGCGCTCCTGACCTGGGCAGAAATAGAGGGCAAAAGTGCATTAATTTCCTTACAATAGGACAGCATGTCGTCATCACACAAAGAGGTGCTTGGCAGATCTCTGTTCGGGGGTCCCGCGCCCAAGTTGGGCGGTCTGGCAAAGAGGATTTCGAATGGGCTTAGGTTTGACCCTGACCTGACTCTCATGCGCATGTACATGAGGGCTAGCGGCAGAGCTTTGATCCAAGACAGGTCTGTCTGTTCGCAGATTTTAACAAGTTTGTTTTTCAGAGTGTCATTCTCTTGCTCGCACGCGCCTCCGCTCCAGGGGGCGTAACTGCAGTGTTTACGTATATCAATGCCCAGAAATTCACCTACTTCCTCAATGACTTTTGCTACAAAGTGACTGCCATTGTCACTAGAGATTTTTTCCGGGACACCCCATCGTGGCATAATTTCTGTGAGCAGAGCTTTCACCACCGCGTTGCTCGTGGCGTGTTTGCATGCAAATACTTCAGTCCATTTGGACCAGAGATCCGCCAGAACCAGACAGTATTTCTTACCTTGGCATGGTGTGAGTTCAACAAAGTCCCTTTGGACATGTTGAAATGGGCGCAGGGGCGGAGGATGAGCAGCCTGTTGGATAATTTGGGACTTACCTGGGTTGTGCGCGAGGCAGATAGCGCATGTTTGGCAGAATCTCTGTGCAAATGCCGTAAACCCCTTCGTATACCAATTTTGTGTGATTAAATTACACATCCCTCCTTTTGAGGCATGGTCTCGACCATGTGCTAAAATTGCAAAATGTCTGAAGAAATGCCGTGGTAAGCACGGTTTTAGGTCTGGTCCCAGCCACACACCATGCCGTCGTTGAGCCCCATTTCCCTCCCACAGCACCGTCTCTGCTGGAGTAGCCGGTGCCTGCATTGCTGACAGAGAGGAGAAAATATCAACGTCTTGAGTGAGGTAGTGTGTGTGTGTGTGTGTGTGTAGAGGTGCGTATGCCGCTGCCTTGTCCGCGCGCCGATTCCCTGCAGAGATGGGGTCAGTGGCATTAGTGTGGGCCTGGCATTTGCATACAGCGATCTCTAAGGGCAACATTACAGCTTTCAGCAGACGTTCAACCTGTGTGGAATTAATAATTGGTCATGAAATTGCGGTGTTTCCACAGTGCCCCCCAGTCGTGCACCACAGAGAAACCATAACGCGTATCACAGAATATGTTAACAGTTTTGCCCGCTGCCAGCTCACAAGCCCCGGTGAGCGCGACCAGTTCAGCGGTTTGTGCTGAATGGTGGTGGGGCAAACTACCAGAGTCTATAGTATCAAAATCAGAACACACATTCCCAGTGTTGTCACGTGACGCGGCTCCGTCTGTATATAAAAAAATCAAGTCAGGATTAGTCAGAGGCACCTCTTTCAGGTCTGGCCTGGGAGTGCATATCTGTTCTATTGTGGCGATACAGCAGTGTGCCTCCCCTTCCTCTGGCGTGGGCAGCAGTGAGGAGGGGTTCAGCTGTGTGCATCTTTTCACCGTGACATTGGGGAGTTCAAAGAGCGCCGTGTTGTATTTCAGCCAACGAGCCGCAGAAAGGTGAGAGGTTTTCTGCTCTAGCAGGATCAGGGAAACAGCATGGGGCACAAGCAAAGTTAGTTCAGTGTATCCCACAAGGTCACGTGATGCTAGGGCGCTTTCTCAGCGGCAGCCACAGCCCGCAGGCAGCGAGGCAACCCTGCTGCCACGGGATCGAGTTTTGCTGAGAAGTAAGCAGTGGGTCTCAGTGGCCCTCCGTGAGACTGCAAAAGTACCGACACCATGCACCCACACCGCTCATCCACAGTCTGAGTGAATTGGCCGTGTTGGGTCAGGGAGACCTAGTGTGTGTGTGTAGATTTACTGTTCCGTTCATCTCCAGTTGCTTTCTCCCGGATCGTCCTCAATTCATATTGTGGGCTTTTGTGCCAAAGTGGAGGCTCATTTCCTCCTGATCCATACTACTGTCATCCCTGAAGCAGGGGTAGTTTATCTCTCATCTGAAAAAGAAATATTAGAACACAAAAAACACAAAAAATGCCCACTTTCGCTTGTCAATCTTTTTTCCAATTGGGCAAAACATAACTGCATTGACAGACGGTGTGTGACATCAGGGCAGAGGCTGTAGCCAAATACAGACTTAACAAAATGTATGTTTCTAATTTTATACTCCCCTAAATGTGAGTTTACAAACCAAAGTTGTCCTTCAACCAACGACAGCTCACTGCGGTTGGACCGAATCACTGTCAGGACAAACAGCAGAGGGAGGAACTCCCAATATCTTCAGCAAGGTATTTCATCTCAGAGTACTTTCCGCAGAGTACTTTTCTCAGAGTACTCATCCCAGAGTACTCTCACTTTTACACCTGTTCAATAAAGCTTGTTATCTTTGAATCTCTAGTACTTACACCGTATGCTGTTGACAAAAAATAATTATTCCATGATCACATTAAAACATTACAGAAACATTTGTTATTCCATGATTCCGTTCAGCACTCCTCGTTCACTCCACACTCGCATCACTCACACAGGCCGCCTCCCCACGTTAGTATATTTGTCCAGAGTTTGTTAAGGTCAACGTAGTGTACTTGACATGACGCACAAACATATAACATACACAAACATATAACACACACAAACATATAACACACACAAACATATAAACAACACAGAAGGCCTGTAATTTTAGCTTTGTTATATTTTTCCATGTCCAATTACAATTGTCTCATGAGCTATTTCTATTGTTGCAACTTTCAGAGCCTGCAGAACATGCAGAGCTTTAAGAGGTTTTTCCTAAAAGGATCCATTTCCAACTTTAGTGTTTACCACGTGGTCTGTACTCGGGCTTATCACAGATGGTGTCCCCTATATCTCTAATGAGCTCTTGTTACTTGAAAATGTTTATTTTCCTTCTTTTTTCTTTTTCAATAAAGCCAGGTCGGATTCATTAAAAATGTAAATTAGTCTCAAACTTTAATACTTCACCTTTGTTTCACGATAAAATGTTTTTGTTGCTCATTAAGTAGCACAGATACCATGGAGTAGTGCCTATCCCAATAAACATACTCCGTTTGTAGCCTATCTTCACTACACTGAGGCCATGAATTTTCAAACTCCAAGTTATTGTCTGGGAACGACCGGAGAGAGCAGCTTAGGTCGTTCGCGTGGTTGACCTCCAAATTTTGTGCGGGCGTAACTCTATCCACTGTTGTGGCTAATAACTTAGCAATCTCAGGGTTTGGTGTCAATTTCCAGTGGTAGTTAACTTTTGGGACCGGTGCCTCCTTGTGCATGCCGGTGAAACATGGAGCATTTGCTAGGTCACTAGCGTGTACCACCCGTAGGCCGCTTGGTGTTGAGAGCAGATTTAAATTGGGTCTGCACATAAGGTCTCGGCCTAGTAGATTAACCGGGCACAATGGGGAATATAGAAACGAATGTTTAAGCTGGTTGCCCTGAGAATCAAAACACGTTAGCGGTGACGTAAATTGCTCTTTAGTCGTCTCTCCCGACGCTGCTAATGAGAATGTGAAGCGGCCACTCATTTTTAGGGGAGACAGAAAGGCTGTCACTTTTTAGCACAAAATTTGTTGCCCCGGAGTCATCCAGAATTTTAACTTTTACACCACAGATTGTTAGCGTATATTACGGGAATTCAGCATGAATTATCTCTAAAAAGTGCCAATTGCAATTTGTTGTTGTTCAAACTTACATGAGCGGTCGCTTTGGTGACGAATGTGAACCCGGGTTTGGTCAGTCGCTCGTGTTTCCTCCACGCCCGCCTCTGCCGTCCTCTGGCCCCGTGTGAGCTTGAGCGTTCCTCTGCCTTTAACGCCTCCTCCGGTAACAGTCCTTCGACACATGTCGAGCACACAGTCTTTCCGCCGGGCTGTGGAAGTTTCTCAAAGTCCGCAGGAGGCCCAGGTAGCCCAAAGCGTTCAAATAACGTTAGCCTGTGGTCCATGAGGGTTGGTTAATACCCAAACGTGCCGGTCCCAATGGCTTCTTCTGTTTGCGGTGCGGGGGCAACTTCCAACGGGGTTTCAGCGGGTGCGTTTGGTGTTTCACGCTGCCGCCTCCGTGGGGAACAGTCACGGGATTTGGAGCAGTTTGTCTCTGGCCTCCAAAGCAGTTGTCGGTGTCTCACATATCTGCTTCCGCCGCTTCTTCTTCTGCGGTTTCCTGAGCGTGTATCTGCTTCCGCCGCTTCTTCTTCTGCTCCCGGGTTTGGGCCCACTTCTCGCGGGGTCTCAGCTGGTGCGAGCGCCGCCGTGGTTGTGGCGTGGGGCTGGTGCTGGGGCTTTGAGGCAGAGGACAGAGCGCGGAGGAAAACGCCGACAGACCTGGACAGGGAGAGGAAAAGGGGACAACAGTAGTCTGCTCATTTTTTTTAAAAACCCAACGCCTAGTTTGGGTGCACACTTATTGTTAGTAGGGGAAAAAGGGCGGTAGGGTGGGGGGTGTGTGGGATGTGTGTGTGTGTGTGTCCGCCTGTGTGTCCGCCTGTGCGTTCTCCGCTTCGGTGAAAAGCGGAGGAGCTATTGTTTTTACATATTTCTTTCTCTAACGTCTTTTGCCGTGATGTTCTTAAAACCAAGTATATTTTTTTTTCCTTTCTTCTTCTAAATTATCACGCAAGATGCGTAATTGATTCAGAGACATAGAGCCTCTATCGGAAAAGCCAAATGAACTGCACCATGTAGGCAAGCACTCCATAGCTTTAGATTCGAACCGTTTTTCCATTGCCATTGTAACGGGGGACGTTAACATTCCCCTCGGTGTGGCATCTCTAGATTGATTTTTCCCCATTTTCTCGTACAGAACAATGGACCTAACCCGTTTAGTCTCTCCCTGCTCTTACCCACTTTGGAGCGCTCCGTTCCCCCCCCCGTGGGTTCTATATACCCAACGAGCGCGCGTTCTTGAAACGGAGCGGGCCTGGCTGAAGGCACTAGAGATATTATCAGGGTCGCTTACTGAGCGATACTAACACGCAGCCGCTAGCTTCAATCTAGAACAAAATACCCCAAAAAATCCCGCACACAGTCTATGCTGTGGCAATGAATGAAATACCCCAAAAAATCCCGCACACAGTCTATGCTGTGGCAATGAATGAAATACCCCAAAAAATACGTAAATAAATCAAAACCCTGTGTACACTTAAGTGCTGCCCTGGGCTTGTTACGCAAATGAAAAGACAAAACTCACCAAATCAGGTTCAAAGGTATTTGTCTTAATCAGGAGCGTAAGTTTATTGTACACACGTGCGGAGAGCTCACATACACAAAGCAGCGTCCATAAGCTCTGGCGCGGCCAGAGCAGGTTCCTGTTTACATAGACAACACATGAAAGACAGTCCCGCCCACAAAAGATGGGAGGGGGTCACCAGTACAGGAGGCGCATCCAGAGGCGAGGCGCCATGCCCGGGGGGAGGCAATCAGACCGTGCCATAGAGATGCAAACAGAGAGACAATCGACATGCAGGATGTAGAGATGCAGACATACAGATGCAAGATGCAAAAGGTGAGACAGTCATTGTCTGTAGGTGCGGGGGGAAGCCCGGCTTCTTCCTGCAGGTTAATTGAATAGAGCAGCAGGGGGGGTGAGTTGGCGTCCCCGAGTCTAGGCCGCTTGCCATCACATTGTACAGTAGATGATGACAAAGCAACTATAATAGCAAAACAAAGATACCCTTTTCTGTGGAAAAGTAAAGACAGGGTAAAATCCGACACTCTCTGATAAAAAGTCCTTTAATGAGGGAAAGTGTGAAAACCCCATATTGTATGTTTTTACTTGTCCAGTACATAACACTGTGTTGTATGTAATCGTAACAGCTGTAATACATGATTTTCCCATGACTGATTTACTATTTCAGGTGAGAAGATTTTCTGAAGCTTACTTTTTCACCGAACATCCCAAAGAATTATCCCTGACATTTCAAGAAGAACTGTATGTTCTGCTTCTCTCACAGTAAATATAATAATTGTATCAAATCGCCCTCTTAGCACATGCTCTTCCCATTCAGAATCAGCAGACACGGGCAGATGGCTGCTGAGGTGCGCAGCTCCGAGTACCTCACCAAGATGCCTCCTTTACCCGCCGAGTGCCTGGACATCGATGGAGACTGGAACAGCCTGCCTATCATCTTTGAGGACAGATTTGTGGAGTCCCCAGTCACCGGTAACACAAGCGCACCACAATTACATTACAACTATCATGTTTTTTTCCTGCTCAGTTTTAAATGCTGTTGATACCTCTGGCTGCATGACTCAAGAGTGATACAAATGGTTTTTTTCCCACTAAACTTAGGGAATTGGTTAGTTTAAGAGAAGATACTTTTTACTGTGTTTTATTCAAAGAGGGAAAAATAAACAAAAACACTATATTTTCGAGATTATAATCCGCAGCCCCCCCCACCCCCGAAATGGATTAATGGGAAGAAAATGGATGGATAATAAGAGTAAGAAGAGTGAGCCATTGACCGGCTGTTCTTAATCTTCCAGTGGGAAGTAGAAGAAGCAACATCTGCTGGTCTCTTTTCACTTTCATGTCTATACTGAGAACCCAAAAACAATTTATTATGTGAGATATTTACACAAAGATATTATAAGTGAGGACTTTTAAACCTTATTTAATCTGCTTGATTGACAAATCAAGTAGATGGACCTCTGTGAACTACTGTGAACTACTCATCCAATCTCTTGGTTTACGGTTACTTGGCAAAATGTTTTTGGCACACAAAGAAATCTATAAAAATAAGCTGCACCTCACTATAAGCCGCAGCCATCAAAATGCAGGAAAAAGTTGTGGTTTATAGTTCAGAATTTATGGGTACAACATTCTCACTGTGTCTGTAGGTTCCAACCAGTATGATGACTGCATTTAACTGGTCTGGAATGTTGCCTTATAGCCTAACCCAGTGATTCTCAAACTTTTTTCTGCTGGGCCCCGCTTTGTATGTCCCCAAAAAAAGGACATACATTCATTCGTCCCCCGTACCCCCCGCAATTGCTCTGCTTTGGGAATCACTGCCCTAATCCTTTCTTGACTTTTGATTTCACTGAAAGGAAATCAAAAGTAAATTAAAATTCAATTCAATTGGTTTGTGTAATGCTTATAAATGGACAACAGGCAATATTATCTTTGACACAAAAATGATAATGGGGCGACAGTAGCTCAGTTGTTAGAGCCCTGGTCTTTGGATCCAATGGTCATCTGCTCCCACTGATGTCTGCTGTTGTTGTGTCCCTGGGCAAGACACTTAACCCCACATTGCCTGAAGCCCCCGCTGAAAGACCAAGGCCATGTTTTCAATTACGGAGCAGCCATCCTCCTGTGGACCCACCACCTGCAGGAGGGGGTGCCGCTTTGAGACTTGGGTGGTAGCTCTGATTGCCATCCCCCCCTACCCAAAAATGGATAAAAAAGGGGTAGAAAACTACATGACATGACAAAAATGATAAACCCTCTCGACGACCCCTTCAAAAATGAGGGGCTTATTGTCCCATTTTTTCTTCAATATATCCACCTATTTAGATTAGTTCTTATCAACCCCATTTTAAAATTGGTAAAAGTCCCAAATGTTTTCACATACTTATACTTAATCAATTGAGAATCTAGATTTTTTTTTGTAGATTTATTCATTTGTATCTATCTGCATTATTTTTTCTTTGTGAGTCTTTCTTAAGAAAAGTTCTGGCTTCCACCCACTGTCTAAACTCATACAGTAAATTGTTATATTGGCGTTTCCAACTGCCCACAGTGAATAAATATAACTACGCAACCTGATTTGATGTGTTTTCCTTTTACTCTTCCTAGACTGGCTCACAGAGAAACCCAAGCTAAACAGGGAGGCAAAAAAATCCCACCCGGCTGACATCTTCGAAGACGACCGCGGGGAGCGTCCACTGGCGCTGCTTCAGGATGCTTCTGACAGTGACGAGAGCATGGATCTGCCCACCTACGTGTCCCTGATGGCGGAGCAAAGCCGATCGGCCAACAACCACCTCCGCTCTCCCGGTCACTCTGTTCAACCTACGCAGACAGAAAAAGACGACGTGGAAATGTCTGCTAAAGAGTCAAAAGAAATCAACTGTAGCAATCTTGAAGTGGCAAAAATAGTGTTTCAAACGAGCACGAACGATGAAGTTTCTGATATTGCCATGCCTCTGCACCAGTCTGTAGATACTGACCCAGATGATATTCCTCTATTGACCATACTTACCCCTCTTTCGATCACTCCAGACTTCCGTAAGGACTTGACTCTACGAAGTGGCCTTATCGGCTCCAAGTTCATCAAGCGCTCCTCATCACTCATTTCCGATTCAGGTATTGAAAGCGAGCCCAGTTCGGTCGTGTGGCCCGTGGAATCTTTACGGAAGGCTCAACCTTCGGATTTCTCCAGTGAACGAGAAATCCCTCAACAAATCATCTCCAAACTGCCGATCCATCGGAGTTCATTGGAAGGGCTTTTGATGGAGAGCAATGGGAGTATCCCGAGCGCAGGCATACAGGCGTCATTGAATTCTATCAGTTCATTGCCGTATGAGGAGGAACAGCACAGGCAGCTCAGAAAGTTGACCAAATCCATGTCAGCCCCGCAAATAAACAGCCCAGAAGAAATAGCTGATAGAAATGTACCGTTAGGCGAAGATGCTTGTGCTAATTCGGATTCGCTGCGATCTGGTCTGATTTTGGAAGTGCGCACTGACAATAATAGTTTGGAAAAAAGCATCCAGCTTAATCACCAGCAAAATGCAACTAAATCTCAGTTACGTGACGACTCAAAATTACACTCCATAAAAGACTCCGAAAATAACGTAATAAATTGGTGTACGAGAAGTGTGGGGAGCGCATCAGTAGAGGACGTGCATCTCATAGAAACGAACGGACACGTGGGCAAACTAAGAGCCGAAGCACCAGAAGGTACACGGACGAGAAGCGATCGCAAAAGCTTAAGCGACTCTAATTTGCTCGATGTGGAATATAAAGAGTCAAGCAGTGAGCGCAGACCCAAAAGCGCCACCGCCCTCAGACCAACAGAGCTGGCCGGACTCAGCAACGTCATGTCATTTCCAGAGCTCAACAGGACGTTAGCTGGGGAGAAGGATCACCGGGGAGACGGCCAATGTAAAGCCAAGATCCCCAACTCAGGTCTGGCGTTTGTGAACAAGAAGATGGTGGAGGTGGTGAACATGTCGGTGTCCTGCGCGCCCACGTGTCTGCCCTTCTCTTCAGCTCTCAGAGAATCTCCGTCCATGGGTGGTATGTCCGCCCGCCAAGCTACCTCTCCCATTACCCATCAACCCCTGGGGTCCTTCGGGATCATCACGTCAGAGTCCATAAATCCCCTGAACATGGATGAGGAGACCAATGAGCGCATGTTGAAGTAAGTTGTGTATGCCATGCACCCACACACACAGGTACACATGCACTTCTGTTTGTTGTTGACATACACACAAAAACAAAATCTTTTTCATGTTTTTTTTGTAGCTACTTCCAGTTTTCTCATTAATCTGTTGTCAAATTGTGTGGTTCTGGTTGGTCAGGCAAGTAAATACATTTTTAATGTTTATATCAAGCAATAAGAGTCCTATAGGACTCTTATTGCTTGATATAAACATTATTCAGTTTAATTGAATGACACTTCTCTCAATGTTTCTCTGGAAATGTGGGTTATTTGACTATAATGTTCAACACTAATAATAAATCCTAAGCACATTCATGGAGAAGGTTAATTTCCATGGAATCATAGGTACTAAATTGTCAAATAAACATAAGATTGGCAAGTTTTTATGTTTCGTATATTGTTATTTACACGTCCAATGCCAACTCAAACAACTTTACACTGGCTTACACCAGATAACCTCTCACCAGCCCCAAAAAGTTGAACATATTTCATAATGTGCTAATGTCCTTGTTCTAAATGTGACAAAGTAGAAATCTAATCCACAGTAGATTGAACAACCTCCAGCAGAGGCAGGTGACTCACAGGCTGAAAGTGGAGCATCCCAAAAAGAATCCAGGGCAAATGAAAAAAGGGAGTTAGAGGAGATGAGGTGGAATGCCCGTCAGTGCATTCAGGCACATCAAAGGCCCGCACAAATCCGTCACTATTAGCTGCTAAGTGCACAAGCTAGAATCGGATTTATTAGCTCTGCTCCGCAGCTCCAACAGCTAACCTGGCCCTCTGACAGACAGCCCAATAAAACTTTGTGAAGCTACTTGACTTTTTGTAGTGTTGGTTTATAAGCTCTGGCTTCCGTTGCCACTGGCCAGGCTTCAGAATCAAACACAGAAGAGGTTTGAGGGAACACACCAATTCTACTGTCTGGTGTCCATAAAACATCACTTTGTATGTGAAGGTTTTAGATATCTGGAGAAAATGAGTTCATGCCTTGTTGTTTTGAATTTTCAAAAATTCAAGTTTTAAGTCCAAATGTAATTTAGCTTTTTAGAAACAGTATTTTCTGTAACTGACAGTAATGTGTGTGATCTTTAGTTTGATCTTAGAATCTAATGTTAAGTGATCATGACTTACACCAATGATAAAATATTAAAATCAGATACGTTTCAGGACATAGAGTGCCTTGCGAAAGTATTCGGCCCCCTTGAACCTTTCAACATTTTGCCACATTTCAGGCTTCAAACATAAAGATATAAAATGTTAATTTTTTGTCATGAATCAACAACAAGTGGGACACAATCGTGAAGTGGAACGAAATTTATTGGATAATTTAAACTTTTTTAACAAATAAAAAACTGAAAAGTGGGGCGTGCAATATTATTCGGCCCCTTTACTTTCAGTGCAGAAAACTCAGTCCAGAAGTTCAGTGAGGATCTTTGAATGATCCAATGTTGTCCTAAATGACTGATGATGATAAATAGAATGCACCTGTGTGTAATCAAGTCTCCGTATAAATGCACCTGCTCTTTGATAGTCTCAGGGTTCTGTTTAAAGCGCAGAGAGAACCATGAAAACAAAGGAACACACCAGGCAGGTCCGAGATACTGTTGTGGAGAAGTTTAAAGCCGGATTTGGATACAAAAATATTTCCCAAGCTTTAAACATCTCAAGGAGCACTGTGCAAGCAATTATATTGAAATGGAAGGAGTTTCAGACCACTGCAAATCTACCAAGACCCGGACGTCCCTCCAAACTTTCATCTCAAACAAGGAGAAGACTGATCAGAGATGCAGCCAAGAGGCCCATGATCACTCTGGATGAACTGCAGATAACTACAGCTGAGGTGGGAGAGTCTGTCCATAGGACAATAATCAGTCGTGCACTGCACAAATCTGGCCTTTATGGAAGAGTGGCAAGAAGAAAGCCATTTCTCAAAGATATCCATAAAAAGTCTCGTTTAAAGTTTGCCACAAGCCACCTGGGAGACACACCAAACATATGGAAGAAGGTGCTCTTGTCAGATGAAACCAAAATCGAACTTTTTGGCCACAATGCAAAACGATATGTTTGGCGTAAAAGCAACACAGCTCATCACCCTGAACACACTATCCCCACTGTCAAAAATGGTGGTGGCAGCATCATGGTTTGGGCCTGCTTTTCTTCAGCAGGGACAGGGAAGATGGCTAAAATTGATGGGAAGATGGATGGAGCCAAATACAGGACCATTCTGGAAGAAAACCTGTTGGAGTCTGCAAAAGACCTGAGACTGGGACGGAGATTTATCTTCCAACAGGACAATGATCCAAAACATAAAGCCAAATGTACAATGGAATGGTTCACAAATAGACGTATCCAGGTGTTAGAATGGCCAAGTCAAAGTCCAGACCTGAATCCAATCGAGAATCTGTGGAAAGAGCTGAAGACTGCTGTTCATATCTCCATCCAACCTCACTGAGCTCGAGCTGTTTTGCATGGAAGAAAGGGCAAGAATTCCAGTCTCTCGATGTGCAAAACTGATAGAGACATACCCCAAGCGACTTGCAGCTGTAATTGCAGCAAAAGGTGGCGCTACAAAGTATTAGCGCAAGGGGGCCGAATAATATTGCACGCCCCACTTTTCAGTTTTTTATTTGTTAAAAAAGTTTAAATTATCCAATAAATTTTGTTCCACTTCACGATTGTGTCCCACTTGTTGTTACTGTAATTCTTGACAAAAAATTTAAATGTTTTATCTTTATGTTCAAAGCCTGAAATGTGGCGAAATGTTGAAAGGTTCAAGGGGGCCGAATACCATACTGTATATGTATGTAAAAGTGACAGATTAACTGTTTTTTTCAACAACTAAAACTTCCTTTTGGTGGGACACAACAAATTCTGTTTCTCTCTCCCAGTTTCTACAAAGCCAAAGAGGTCCTGCTGAAAGAGCTGAGCTTTGCGGGCGTCCTGTACAGTGACCTTCCTGAGCTGGCCTCCGATCTGCCCTACTTCCCGCCTGAAGAGGACGATGAGGAGTTTGAGGATGGAATACATTTAGTGGTGTGTGTCCATGGGCTTGACGGTGAGTACCCCGCTCCAGAACATACCTGATTTACAAGTAAATTACACTTGCATTCATGGTATTCTGTTAAAGCTTATGCATGATCGCCATGTTTTTGTTTACTATAATAATATTGATGTTGTACTTATCTAGCTTCCATTTATTCGTTAAAGTTTTGCTAAAGAAAACCTTATGACAGAACGAAAACACAATACAAAATATGGAAAGCAAAGATTTTTGGCTGGAAGTTAAGACACCACGTAGAAAAGTAGTGACCTGGTTGTTGGAGTTAGTTGTCGAGCGTCACCTGAAAAGTTACATAGAAAATGGTGTCTTTTTACAATTCCACCGATCAATTGGAACCCTAACAGTTGAATTTACAAAAGCCAAAATAATGATAGCACTATATGATGTAAGAACAGATGCTTGAATATCCTTGATTAAAAATTACCACTTATATAACCGGTTTAATAAAGAAGAGGTCATTTCATTTTGTACTTTTGCTGGATTACTAGTATTTTTGGTCAATTTTATAACCACATCAATTCCCAAAAGATTCTGCATTTCTTATATGCCACTCTTCCTTATTTCCATACAGAAAATAAACATGATGATGGTGAATGAGAATGAACAGTAATGATATCATACAATATCATTTATAATTGTTGTTTTTGTTGAATTAGTTGTGTTAATGACCAGGCAGCCAAAGTCTTACAGAAACCTGAAATAGAGACCTCATTTCAGGTCCCTATAGGGGTGAAAAGGAAAATGTATTTATCTCAAACAACTGAATCCTGTATGACCCTGAAAAAAATAAATACATTAAATGGAATGAAATATTACATGTTATCATTATCACCTTTGCTTTGATTTGCCCATAATGAGGTATGCTTCCCTGTGTGCTTTCAGGAAACAGTGCAGACTTACGACTGGTGAAGACTTTTATTGAGTTAGGCCTGCCCGGCTCCCGGCTGGACTTCCTCATGTCTGAGAGAAACCAGGTGTGTGGCTCATGACAGAGATTGGAGCAAATTGACAACACAAGCACCATATCGAGTCAAATGTGCTCCAGGGAAGCAGGAGACAGGGCGCTGATGCAGGGGCTTTTTGTGTTTGTTTACAGAGCGATACGTTTGCCGATTTTGACACGATGACTGACAGGCTGTTGGACGAGATCATTCAGCACATCCAGCTCTACAACCTCACCATCAGGAAGATCAGGTCAGGCTCCATGTCACAGCAACACAGTAATGAGAGCAAGCTCAAGAGAAGGGAGACTTGTGTAAGCAGTCTATATGTGTGTGCAAGTTTACATGTGGGCAGCAGGTGGCAGCAGAGACTGTGACAATTTACCAAGTCAAGGGTCTCCAATCTACAGCAGCTCAGGACCCACTTCCCAAAGGGTTTTAGAAACGATAAATCATGTGAAGAATATCAACACATTCAAACAAAAATGCAGAATTTTGTATATCCCACCATTATATCCACGTCTATTTTCTGAATGCTTTGAAGAGTAGCGTTCTTTTTTCCCTGTTTTAAACTGTACCCCTGTTTAGTATATATTACATTCATATATTTAACCATTTAAAGTTTGTAAACTTTGATATGCAGTTTGTAGTGATATAGATCTTTTTTATTTTACTTCATTAGGACCTTTGACTACCAGTACGTCTACTTCTTCTGCCATATTCAGTTATCATTTATGAAAATCTTAAGCCATTATTATGTATATAGACAATGTTTAAACAATATATTAAAAGAAACAGTCCTTGCTTAAAAACCAAGAAATCTATATTTAAGAAACTCTTAAATATTGATTTTTAGGTTACTGGTATCAAGGATTAACTCTAATGTTCTAATATTATGACTCGGACTGAACGGTCCTATTCATCAAAATGCTGTAGTGTGGTTTTTGAAGTTTGTGTGCATACTGATTCTATGGGCCGATCTTGGGGGCACAGCTCTGTCTGTCTGCTTTAAGCTGCTGTGGTCTGTGCTATCCAAATACAACAAACACTCTTTATTTATGCATATTGTTCTTGGAAACTTTGTAAACAGACAACGCATCAAAACATTTGATAAGACGATAAGTAGAATACGAGAAAGAATATGAATTTGTAGAATCAACTATGCCCGCCTGCCTTCACAAAGAGTTTGAGTGGCATATACAGATGCAGAAGTTCATGGATAGAGAGTACAGACAAATGGTTTATTTTGCTTTGAATCTGCTAAAGAATGACCCTTTGTCACTGTAAGAAGAACTCCACAGAATTCATTTAAAATAATTAAAATCCATGTATTCTTGCATAGCCCTAAATCACATCAGTAGTTATCTCAGAGGACTTGACAAAACCGTTGTATTTGCCAACACAGATCAGAGAATCAAACAGTTCAAACACAAGAAATGCACTGATAAAAACACATAGAGGTGTTGGTCCATGAGGGGCAGATGACCAATGTCCATAAACTTCATGTCCTCTTGATGTCTGGTGCCACAAGAGGCTGTAACAAAACTTTTACATTTTTGTTACAACCTCACTAAAACAATTATATTTAGCGCTGCTGTGTTTATTGTTTGATTACCTCAATGGGAGATATTTACGCTGGATTTTATTCATCACTTTGTTGTATTTGTTTAATAGGCTATTTCAAGAGTCTCCAATAACAATATACATGGATATAGTTGATGCATTGATGCAGGCACGCAGCCATGCATACAGTAAGTGTGTATAAATTATGAGCTTTTATACGTTTGCCGTAAAGCTCTCTAGATCGTTTTAAGATCACTCGAAAGATCAGGCTCTATATATTTTATTACCTCTTAAATTACCAATGCTGCTCAAACTAGAGTTAAGGCAAGTGGAGTTTAAATGTATTGCGACATCTATACACAGAAACTCAAAGTGCTTTGCCACATGATAAAGGTTAAGTTACAACATTACAATCTTTCAGTTGTTGCAAAACTAAACTGAACTGTTTTTAGTTGTCAGAGGTGAAGCCTGTCTCACATTTTCAGAATGACTGGAAAGCTGCATAAATGTGACTTAGATTAAAGGTAATGACAGCAAGTTGAATTGTATTTCATAGTCAAAATAATGCATATTTTTAGTGATGTATGTGAAATGGTCTCTCCGCTTGTAAAACCACAATCAGTATTTCTGGAGGATAATAGTTCAACCAACGGCAAGGATTTGAATTGATATCGTCCAATCGGAAAGCTGTGAGAGTGAGAATGGGCGGGTCTAACTGACTGACTTGATTTGTCTCCCTCTCTTCACAATTTAAAAAGTAACTCAAGTTATCCAACAGTCCAGAATTTTGATCGAAGCATGATTTCCATTCGTTTCCTCAAACACAGACATGATTTATTTGTACACACACACAATAACGAATGAACGTGTCTTATCATCCACACCCCAAGTGCGACGGCATAGACCCTCCGCATTTATCGAGCAGCGTCGCTAAGTTCCGCGCAAATTAAGCCATTTATCTTCGTGCCTAATTGCCCTCTATGTGCCAATTTACTTTTTAAGACTTTCTCCCCGAGTTTGTTAACTTTCCTTATTGTGCTGTATTCCCCGGAGCGCATGTTTCAAAGAAGAGGCGCAATGGCCCGCCGCGCCAGCATCTGTTCTATATTTAGGCTGGTGGCAGCGGATGAGACAGCGCAGACGTGGCACTGAGGGATTCTGGGTGCAGATATAAGAGTATAGTAATTAAACTAAGTGACAAAGTAAGCTTCACGAGCCTGCATCTGCAAAAGCCATTAATTCTGATGGAATTTCCACTGTTAGCGTCATTGCCTTTGGGAGCGTTCAAGTTAATGAAGAGAGATTTGGTGTAGAAATCATGTCAGCGAAGATGTCTTTTGGTAACTTTTTATAGGCGTAACAGACGTAATTATTGCACTAACTGAACAAAAAATAAATATTGTCAGAATGCTGCAGCGCGAGTCGTGTTTTTCGGCTTTACAGATTTGTATAATTCTTACTGTTTATTCTTCTAAATGCAAAACAAATGTGTCTAACAATAATATAGTAATTGTTGTTGCTAGTCTTGCAAAGTATATATTTTTCTATGCCACAGTGTGTACGTTTTATAATCCATAATTTGTATTTTTACTTTATTTCATCCAATACATTCTGTTAGAGTGAGACAATCAATCAAATGTATCATTAGTTTAGGATGGTTCATCTTGTCTTCTTAGTAGAATAGGGTTAAGTTAAGATAAAGTTATTTGGTTCTTTTATACCGGACAATAGTAAGTTACCCATGTTATTACTGTACCTTGACATGTTTCGAGGGTATATAACATAGCTAACTTTCTATTGTCTGGTATAGAAGAACAAAATAACCCTACATGTAATATTAATTATGATTTCATGGATTGCTCTTATGACTACAAGATGCATTTCCCCAATGTACTGTATCTCTCGCCAAAAGCATCCATAGAGTTTCAGAGCCCGACACCAAAAACAGCGACTTTAATTGGGGCTTGTGTTGTGTCCGCAGCTTCATCGGTCACTCTCTGGGGAACATCATCGTCCGCTCGGTGCTGACCAGGCCTCGATTCCGCTGCTATCTACCCAAACTGCACACCTTTTTGTCTCTGTCGGGGCCACACTTGGGAACGCTCTACAACAGCAGCACGTTGGTCAGCACGGGTGAGAAAACTACACTGCACATTCAGGAGATGGCAGCTCCATCCAAAAACTCACCCCGCACTTTGCAACACGCATCTATGTCACAGCCATGCTACTTATTTCACGGTATGTTTATGCTATTGTTGACATTGGGATTGATTTTTTTTTTATATTCAGGATATCTACAGTAGTATGAATTGTAAATATGTGGGCATAAACTTATACGAAACAATCCAATTCTTCAGCATTATGTAAGGTAGTGAATGCTAACTAGTGAATCTTGTTGTCTCATTCTGAAACTAGTCGTATTTGAGAGGATTTTCTTTTCATTTCTTTACAATTAGTTTCATTCATGTGGTAGAATTCTATTTCAGTTGGAGGGAGGGCAATGTCCAATTGTTTTCTCAGATATGTGATAGTGATTAGATTCACCAACTAGCCATATTATTCAAAAACACCATTATATTGTACTATTATACACTATTATACTGAATGCATGATGTTGTCCAGTGTAAAGGACGTTCAAGCATGTCTTTTTGAATATATCAATATTGTCATCACCTTTATGAGAAGTTTTTGTTTCATGGGGATTGGCCTTGGATTACTTTCTTACATAATTAGTTACTAAACTAATCTTGGAAGTCTGACTTTTGACACTTACATAGTTACTAAGAAGATTTTTCAGCTGCCCCTCCACCACAATTTTAAAACATAGTCTTTTTGGAATGCGGTGATACTACATCAATAGAACCTATTGCACTAATATCTAAACTATGTAGCCACAATCTTTGATTATTTTGTAGATCAGGAATAGTAATTTTACCTCTTATAAGATCAGCCCTACTCTGGGACTTTCAAATATCTATGAAAGTAGGCACCTAAAAAGCTGGATGTATGTGTATTTCCCATCCAAGTCAGTTAATGTAGCAGTGTATTTCTATGTCTCTTCTTAGGCTTGTGGTTAATGCAAAAGCTGAAAAAGTCTGGCTCCTTGCTGCAGCTCACTTTCAGAGATCACGTGGACCCGCGGAAAACGTTCCTCTACCTGCTCAGCCAAAAACCAGGTACATTGTTCAAACCAACCCAGACCTCCACATTCCTGCTTCACTTCGCTACATCACAGCAATGTTCACAAAATAGTCTCTCTCTCTCTCCTCACATTTTCCACTGGTGTCATCTCACCAACACACTCAAACATGAGTGGAGCCTCGACAGACTTGTGAGAGGCCTCCCCACAGCGGCAAAGGAACAAAGCAGTCGTTTGTCACACAGGACTGAAGCAGATAAGACTGAAAAGCGTTGTGTTTTTTTTGTTGCCAGAGCGGTGGCAGTCTGACAAAATGATCCAAACCCTGTCATTGGGAAGCCTCTCGTGCGTCGTCTTAAAAGCACTCTTGACAGGAGACTACAGAGAAACACTGTTTTATTGTCGCAGCCTGTCATTGTACCATGTGATTGTACTATGCTTTTACAACCATTCACTGTGTATAGCTGTCAACCTAACCTCTTTTAACACACGCATAAATCTAGTGCCATATCCCGCTGAAGGCCTTGCAGACATTGTTGATATGTGTTATTTATGTACAGTATATTTAACTACTGAAATGGTATTATTAGGTAACACAGTTCACCAAGTAACAGGTAAGACATTTTGAATCTCTGTGGTTGTGTTTCTTTTACTTCCAGGACTCCAGTTTTTCAAGAACGTGGTGTTGGTGGCTTCTCCGCAGGACCGCTATGTCCCGTTCCACTCGGCCAGAATAGAGATGTGCAGAACAGCTCTCAAAGACAGAACCACAGGTGGGATTAGTGGTGTCCTTGTGACCTTCAGACCTTCACTATACACATGTGCAGAGGTTAGAACCAACAAAGGGGAATGTCAACTTAAACTTTTTTTATAAAGCATATTTATCCCTTGTGGTATCCTCAGGTCAATTTTAGGGTCATTGAAAAATACAGTAAATTATTATTTATTTTTTTCTAGCTGAATTTTGATGATTTTTCCTAACTTGAAAAATCTCCAATCTGGAACAACTAAACTAGTATCGGTATTAAATCTGCTCTTAGAACAGATTTAAACATTTCTAAAGATGGCTCTAATGTGAACCTATGACCCGAGAACTTTCAACAGCTGGTTTTCTGTCCTCACCGGTCTTACAGGGACATAACAATAAAACAGCTTTGTCAAATTTAAACATTTAAACAAGCAACAGCCTTAACCCTAACCATGTAGCCTAAACTCGCTTAAATTAGTTTATTAGCTTGTCCAATTTAAACTTGCCATCTTCTGATTTGACACATATTGACATTCTAGCTAGCCTACCCCTATCTAGGCAAGGCAAGGCAAGTTTATTTATATAGCACAATTCATACTCAAGGCAATTCAAAGTGCTGAACAAAACAAGAAAGCATTAAAATCATAAATTATCACAGAACATTAAAAAGAAAGATAAAAATATAAAATCCCTCAGTTGTATGCACAGTTAAACAGAACCGTCTTTAACCTGGTTTTAAACATTGTCAGAGAGGAGGCCTGTCTCACATCTTCAGGAAGACTGTTCCAGATTTTAGCAGCATTAATCTGAAAAGCAGCCTCCCCATGTTTAGTTCTGACTCTGGGCACTAACAGGAGTCCAGTCCCTGTGCTCCTCAGAGTCCGGGCTGGTTCATATGGGACTAACATGTCACTAATATATTTTGGTGCGAGGCCATGGAGAGACTTGTACACAAGCAAAGCTGTTTTAAAGTCTATTCTCTGAGCCACAGGAAGCCAGTGCAGAGACCTGAGGACTGGACTAATGTGGTCGTACTTCCTGGTTCTTGTCAGGACTCGAGCTGCTGCATTTTGAATGTACTGCAGCTGTTTTACAGCCTGTTTGGACAGACCTGTGAGCAGGCCATTGCAGTAGTCTAACCTACTGGAGACAAATGCATGGATAAGAATCTCCAAGTCTGCTTTAGACACTATGTTTTTGATCCTGGCAATGTTTTTTAGATGGTAAAAAGCTGCTGATGTTACTGATTTGATGTGGCTATTAAAATTTAAGTCTGAGTCCAGTATTACCCCTAGATTTCTGACCTTGTTTGAAGGTTTTAGGGAGAGAGACTGTAGGTGACAGATGACGCTCTCTCTTTGTTTCTGGGGACCAAAAGACAATCATTTCAGTTTTGTCTGCGTTTAGCTGAAGGAAGTTGTTTTGCATCCACTCACTGATCTGTTGGATACAGTGAAGGAGTGAGTCCACTGGTCCATGTTCTCCTGCAGTCAGTGAGACATAGATCTGAGTGTCGTCTGCATAGTTATGATAGGAAACTTTGTTTCTGCGTATTAACTGACCTAACGGCAGCATGTAGAGATTGAACAGAAGAGGTCCCAGGATCGACCCCTGTGGGACTCCACAGGTCAGGGCCATATGATCTGAGACACAGTTTCCAATCTCCACAAAGTACTTCCTGTCTTCAAGGTAAGACCTAAACCAACTTAGGGCGGTGCCAGTGACGCCAACCCAGTCCTCTAGTCTCTGTAAGAGGATCTCATGGTCGACGGTGTCAAAGGCAGCACTTAGATCTAACAAGATTAAGATTGAGACTTTGCCTGCGTCAGTGTTCAGCCGGATATCGTTTGTAACCTTAACGAGAGCAGTCTCAGTGCTGTGGTGGGGTCTAAAGCCGGACTGAAACATATCAAATGAGTTGTTGATTATAAGAAATCTAGTAAGCTGTAGGTAGACAACTTTCTCAAGGACTTTCCCCATAAATGGCAGATTTGAGATGGGACGATAGTTGTTAAGTACAGTGGCATCCAGACTGCTCTTTTTTAGCAGGGGCCTGATGACTGCAGTTTTCAGGGCCTTTGGGAATATTCCAGAATGAAGGGACATGTTTACTATCTGTGTGAGTGAAGGTAACAGACTGCTCAGAACAGACTTCAGAAATCTAGTGGGTAGTACATCCAGGCTGCATGTGGAGGAGCTCAAACTGGAGATTATCTCTTGGACAGTTTTATCATTTACAGGTGCAAAGTGAGTTAGCTCAGAGAGCCTTTCTGGCTGTTGGATGGTTATCTGTGGATTGGAGACAATGGCGCTTTTGATGCCTTGAACCTTGTCATTGAAAAAATTAGCAAACTCATTGCATTTACGTTTGGAAGTAAGCTCTAATGGCATTTGAACAGGGGGGTTTGTTAATCTATTAACTGTTGAGAACAGAACACGCAGATTGTTGCTGCAGCCTTCAATCATTTCAGAAAAATACCTTTCTCTCGTACTACGTAGCACCCGGTTAAACTCGCACAACTTATCTTTGAAGATCTCGTAATCTACCTGGAGGTTGGACTTGCGCCACTTCCGCTCGGCCCTCCGGCACTTTCTCTTTTGTGCCCTGACCGAGTCTGCTTTAGCCCACGGCGCCTTCTGCTTATTTTTCACTATTTTAACCTTCACAGGGGCAACGGTATCCAGAACATTCAAAACACTAGAGGTGACAGAGTTAAACAGTTCATCTACAGTAGAATACGATGCATTCTCAAAGTTTATCATTTCCATAAATAGTTCACTCGTATTTTCATTTATGCGCCTTCTTCGAACAGTTGCAGAGTCCACTGGTGGTTTGTTAGTGAAACACATGTCAAAAAAAACACAGAAATGATCCGAAAGAGCAACATCGACCACGTTTACATTTGAAATAATCACCCCCTTTGTAACTAACAGATCTAGAGTGTGCCCTCTGCTGTGGGTGGGGCCACTTACGTGCTGAGTGAGATCAAAGGATTCAAGTACAGAACTCAGCTCATTTGCATTTCTGTCATCAACATTATCCACATGAATATTAAAATCACCTGTAATAACCAAACTATCAAAATCTGTGCATACAACTGAAAGCAACTCGGTAAAATGATCAATAAAACTGTGACATGACTGCGGTGGCTTGTATAGGACAACGAAGAGTATTGGAGGAGATTGTTTTTGTTGTATTTTAAAAGACACATATTCAAATGACGAAAACTTCCCAAGAGACATTCTATGGGAGACAAAGTGGTCTCTAAAAATGGCAGCTAAGCCTCCTCCTTTTTTGTTTTCCCGTATTTCAGATTCAAACTTGAAATTTGGTGGTGGTGATGCTTCTATTAAAACTGCATTTTCTGAATTTTGGTCAAGCCAAGTTTCAGCCATGAACATAAGATCAAGATTATGAGAACAAATAAAATTATTGATTAAAAAAGACTTGTTACAAAGAGATCTGACATTAAGCGTAGCAAGTTTCAAAGTTTCAGTATCAGCGGTTGCGGTCGGCTGATTCTTACACGGAACAAGAATTAGATTTTCCAGATTAGACTGATTAACTCCAGATGTTTTTCTGTAATGTATTCTTTGTGTTATCACTAAGGGAATGGCACAGGTGGCTTCATGACAGGGCCCCAGCCGGGTCTCTCCTCTAACTAGACTGCCAGTGGCTGCGAAGCAGAGACCCTGTGCATCCTAGTGTTTAGAGAAAAGAGGGGTAGGGGAAGGCGGGGGAGGAGGATGGAGAGGTGGGTGGCTTTTGGGTGTTGAACGAGGGGGGCAGGGAGGTGGATGGGTTTTTGGGTGGTTGGGTGGGTTAGGGGAGGGGCAGGCTGAGGGGTTGGGTGGTGGACGAGGGGGGAGTGGAGGTGGGAATGGGATAGTGAGAGGATCTCGTCTTTCATCGTCCGATTTTATTAGCCCAGCAGAGTGTTCAGGTGGTCTAACAGTGAAGGCGGGGTATGAAAAACAAAGGGACGAGTCCCCAGTCTCTCTTGATTTCGGAGTGGACGTGGCAGGGGGGACCAGTACAGGTCCATGGGACCGCGCTTTTATTGGGTGGCGAGGGGAGTCTTTGATGGGGGGCAGGTGGTTGAGAAACCCCCAGCACAGGCGTGTCTGCTGTAACCTGGGGAGAGGCTTGGGGGCTCAGAGGCGCTGTGAAGATGGAAGGTTTCTCGTGGCTGCTTTGGAGGCAGGCTGGGGATGAAGCTGTTGGTGGTGGTGGATGGGTCGTGCTGCTGGTTCTGCTACGGGTGATGATGCAGCTGCTTCTGTGACAGTGGAGGTGTTGAAGATCCTTTGAGGCGGTGATGGTGTTGAGATCCTTCAGAGGTGGTGGTGGTGTTGAGATCCTTCGAGGTGGTGGTGGTGTTGGAGATCCTGCGAGGTGGTGGTTGGTGTTGAGTTCATTTGTGGTAGGTGGTGGTCTGTTGTGATCCTTCGATGTGTTGGTGGTGTTGAGATCCTTCGAGGGTGGTGGAGGTGCTGAGGACTTTTAGAGTCGGCTTCCTCCCTTTCGATGGTGCACGCGCTGCGCAGGCTGAGGTCTCAGGGCAAAAGAAAGGTTATCCATCACCTTTTCTACGTAAGTGTTCAGATGTGGCCCTTTCCCTTCAAAAATGATCATGCCTATTCAGAACAGATTTAAATTTCAATGAAGGCAAGTCCTCGCGTGAACTTTCGTTGAGTAGGAAAGTATTTAGCTTGATACAGACGAATGAAATTTCATTTGCTTCGTCCCCATTGGTAGTGGGACAGTTAAGTAGTATGCGTCCATTTTAGCATGGTCGTCAATAAAGAGAGTATCCTCGTTTCAACTTTTCATTGTGTTGTCATAGACGTTCTTCTCCCCCAAACGTGGATTCAACAATCTTTTTTACCCAGGCCGGTCTCAGACAGAAGCCTCGGAGCCCGCCGCCTTATCTCATTCCACTTTGGCAGAGTGTACTGAGGTGAAAACTTGAGATTACGCATGTTTTCGTGTCTTATCGCCGATTCGCCGATTAAAAGAGCGAACTCAGCCATTTGACCTTGATGAGGACTGAGACTGGAATGAGGAGACTACTTGCTGATTAACTTCACAAAAAGTGGGGATATAAAATTAGCGGTCTTCTTGTAATTAAAGATTTTTGCTGTGGCCATTATGACACTCTTGTTATCATTAGCTTTGCTTGTTTGGGCATGGCACAATATGAGTTCCAACAATTGTCTCTGTTGATTTTGGGAAATGAAATAGCGTCATCATAACTTACGTTACTGTCCATGTGGTCCATTTCCTGTTCACTGGTATTGTTGTGTTCAGCCCCAATTCTGATTCAAGCACATAAACATTCGGTCTTGAAGAAGTTTTAGCTCCTGTTTGAGTGAGAAAAACAGCCGTCGCAAGTTTTGTTCTTTCCCGTCCTCCGAAATGCTGTAAGTTAGGTAAATTCCACAAGTCTTGTGTTGAAGTTTGTATAAAAAAGGAGTAATCCGTTGTTTTTTGAATAAAAATGTAAGCATAAATGATTAAAAATGATGGGCAGCAAGAAACGGAGTCCAGAGGTCGCAAAAAGCAGCATATTGACCGGCTGGCGAGCCAGGGAGCTCATGCTGGTGCCAGCACGAGATCCATGGCAGCTGCGATCTCCCTGAATTGTGAGGGAGGCGTGTCTACTCTGTCAATGTGCTAAATCCAGGTTTAGACTGTTCTGTTTGCCTGTGCATTACAATGAAGGATTTTATCTGCTTTTCTAATGCACTTGTGTCATTTTATTTATTTATTTATTTTTAATGTCTTGTGTAATTTGAAAGTTTTAATGGTTTTGATTCGTTTGTGTGATTTTAAAGTTGTAATTGTGTTTTATTCTTTTGTTGTGATTTTAATGTTTTAATTGTGTTTAATCTTTTGTGTGATTTTACTGTTTTAATAGTGATTCTGGATGTTTGTTTTATGTGATGATTTGTGTTGTGGACTGTGAAGCGCTTTGTGTTGCCTGTGTATGAAGGCGCTTACAAATAAACTTTGATTGATTGATTGATATTGTAAATGACCACAGTATAAAAAACGTATTACTCAAATGATTATCGTATTTATTCTTGTTTGTTTGTTTAATACTTCCTGGTTTTATTCATCGTAAACTTGAATATAACTATTACCCACATTTATTACTTTGTGCATGCAAGTTTCTGTAGGTGATGCTAAAGTTATTGGCTCTAATTCCTTGTTGCAACTAATTTGCACCAGCACTGGATACTCCTGCAACAACACATCAGTAGAGTTGTTAAATCTTTCCGGTTCACCAGGTACTAACCTGTACAGATTGCTTTTAGTGGTAACTAAAATCCAATGGTGAATTCTGGCCTTCAGGAGAATCATCGTTCAAGGATTCAAAAGAGATAAGATAAGCTTAAGATTGCTTTATTTAATCTCACAGAGGAGAAATTTACATACAAGCACAGCCAGTTATCCCTGTGGTAAAGTTGTTGACACTTCCTGCTGCACTTAAAACCCAAACAGTCTAAAGAATTCTTAGGTCTTCGCTGCTAATAAGCAATTAGCCAAAAACGGCCAGGCTCCTTATTCAAGTGCTACAGCGTTTACACGACAAAGGAAATAATGTAGTTTCTAGCACTCGCAGTTGGTGGGCAGTGAACGCTAAGCCTACTGGGGAATACGACCAGCGGTAGATCCACTTCCCCAAAACATCTCCTCGGGCGCGCAACAGACGTGAAAGAATGCACCGACATAATTTTGCTTTTACAGTAGGCTGCGGAATTAGGGACACTGAAACTACAGCTTTGCATGGTTGTGTTTGGCGAAAAAAGTGCTCGAAGCAGACGAAGCTCAGTAAGTTGTTAAGTAGCAGGAAGTGTCAGATCGTGACCACAGGGGATAAATGGCTTGTGCTTTTGTATTTCTCCTTCTGTGAGATAATAAAGCAATCTTATCTTATTCTTATCATTTTGATCCTTTAACGTTGATTCCTTCCTGAAGCAGAATTCACCATTGGATTTTTGTTCCACTAATAAGAAACTTGTACTGGGTTTAGACCGTGGTGAGCCGGTTAGTTTACTCTACTGATGTGTTGTTGCAAGAGTAATCCTGTGCTGTGCCAACGTTGTTGCAACAAGGAATTAGAGCAATAACTTTATCACCTACAGAAACTTGCATGCAATAGATAATAAATGTGGGTAATGTTATAGTCAATGTTTATGATGAATAAAACCCATGAAGTATTAACAACAAGTAATATATACGTTATCTTTTGTGTATACTGTTTTTATCTGTGGTCTTTTCTAGTATCAATCATCAATCAAAGTTTATTTGGTAGAGCGCCTGTTCATACACAGGCAACACTACAGCGCTTCACAGTCCACATCACAACTCTTCACATAAACAAAAACCAGAATCTCTATTAACACTTAATAAATACACAAAGATTAAAAAACACAATTAAAACATTAAATCACACAAAGGATTAAAACACAATTAAAACGTTAATATCACACAAAAGAATAAAACCATTAAACTTTCACAAATTAAAGAAATTAAAAATAATAAAATAAATAAATGACAGCAGTGCATTTGAAATGCTGATAAAACATTCAGTTGTATTGCACAGGCAAACAGAACTGTCTTTACCTGGATTTGACATTGTCAGAGTAGACGCCTCCCTCAACATTTTCAGGGAGTTTGTTCCAGATATTAGCTGCCATGGATCTGTAAACGTGCCTCCCCAATGTTTGGTTTCACTCTTGGCACCAGCAGGGGCCAGTCCCTGTGCTCTCAGAGTCCGAGCCGGTTCATATGTCACAACATGTCACTGACCGGTGTTGTGTGCGACCTCTGGAACAGCAGTGCATTCTCTTGCTGTCCTCCCTCGCTTGCTGCTTTTTTATCTCCTTTAATCATTTTTGCTTACATTTTTATTCCACAAAACACGGATTACTCCTTTTTACAAACTTCAACACAAGATTGTGGAATTTACCGATACGTACAGCATGTCAGGACTAGCATGTTTCGGCATTTTTGAAGGACGGAAACAGAACAAAACTTTGCGACGGCTGTTTATCACTAAACAGGAGGAACTTCTTTCAGACGATGTTTGTGATTGAATCAGAATTGGGGCTGAACACAACATACCAGTGAAGGGAAAAGGTCCAAATGGAACAAACGTAGTTATGATGACGCTATTTCATTTCCAAATTCAACAGAGGACAATTGTTCGGAAACACTATGGTGCCAAGCCCAAACAGGCCAAAAGCTAATGATAACAAGAGTGTCATAATGCCACAGCAAAATCTTTTATTACAAGAAAACCGCTTTTCCCCACTTTTGGAGCTGAATCAGCAGTGAGTTCTCAGTCCAGGTCTCAGTCTCAGTCAAGGTCAATTGCAGCTGAGTCGCTCTTTATCGGCGAATCGGCGATAAGAACGTAAACATGGTAATCTCAAGGTTCATCAGTTACACTTTGCCAAAGTGGATGTGATAAGGCGGCTGGCTCCGTGGATTATGTATGAGACGGGCGGGTAAAAGATTGTTGATCACGTGGGGGGCAGTAGAGTATATGACAACACAAGTGAAAAGTTGATAACGGGATTACTCTCTCTTATTGGACGACCTTGCCTATAATGGACGAAACTTATGTTATCAGTGGCACCACTACCAATGTGGACGGGAAGCAAATGAATTTCAGTCGTCTGTATAGCCTAAATTCTTTCCTTTTACTCAACGAAATGTTCACGCAGAGGACTTGCCTTCATTGGAAATTTTAGCTGTTTGGAAGCATGAGCTTTTTGAAGGGAAAGGGCACATTGAACAATAACGGAGTAAAAGTGTTGATGGATAACCTTTCTTTTGCTGAGGACCTTCGCCTGCGAGGCGCGTGCTAGCAATCGAAAGGAGGAAGCCGACTCTAAAAGTCTCCAGCCCTCCACCACCTCGATTGGATCTCAACACTCACCACTTCGAAGGATCTTCAACACCACCACCACCTCAAAAGGATCTCAACACCTCACCACCACCTCGAGGGATCTCAACACCACCACCACCTCGAAGGATCTCAACACCACCACAGCCTCGAAGGATCTAACACCACACGCCTAAAGGATTCAACACTCCACTGTCATCAGAGCGCTGGCATCATCACCAGTAGAAGAACAGCAGCACGACACACCACACACCAACATCTTCATCCAGCTGCTCCAATGCAGCACGCCTTCTTCTTTACAGCGCTCTGAAGCCCCTTCCTCACCCCAGGGTACTGCAGACAGGCCTGTGCTGGGGTTTCCTCAACCACCTGCCCTCCATCAAGACTCCTGCCACCTCCCATGACTGTCTTGGGTTCCCCTGCCAGTCCACTCCATCAAGAGAGTTGGGGACACGTCCTGTGTTTTTCATCCCGCCTTCATGTTAGACCTAC